ATGAGGTCTAGTGTATTCTGCAGTCTAGTAGGCTCTATTATTTGCTGGTTTAAATTGAATTTTGTGCAGAGATTTAAAAGCTCGTGTGAGTGAGTTTTCATCAGAGCTGCCTCCTGGTGTTATTACTGCAACAATATTATTTGCTATATTCCTCCATTTTAGGTGCCTTAAGTTGAAATCCCCCAGGAGCAAGATGTTGGGTGCAGGAGCTGGAAGATTTTCCAGACAGTGGTCAATTTTTAACAGCTGTTCCTTGAATTGCTGGGATGTTGCATCCGGAGGCTTGTAGACTACCACAATGACTAGGTTTTGGTTCTCAACCTTTACTGGTAAAACTTCCACTACATCATTTGAGGCATTTAGCAGTTCTGTGCAAACAAGTGACTCTGCAATGTAGTAGTAATGTGTAGTATAAATATCTACACAAAACTTACAAAACTTATGCCTTACACCATAGCATTCTGATGCTTTAAACTACTTTCACCAATGCTCAGTATTATTTTCCAATAATATAACTTAAATATTTACTGTTGATATACACAACCTACAAAATACCTTCAAATTGTCCTAGTGTAATATCCCCAGATTTTAACTTGAGTTAACTTGTCTGCTTTAACCCTTAAACGGTCCAAACAGATCGACGTTCAAATTCATAGTGCTACAAAAGTAGATCTACTTTTTTTACATATTTTCAGTTATAACAAAAAAATGTAGATAAAAGTTTTTTTTTTACACTTTTAAAATGTAAAAAAAAAAAGAAGATCTACCTTTTTTGTTCCTTTTTTCAATGTTAAAAAAACGAATATACTTTTGGACCTTTAAGTTAAAAAAAAACAGTATACAATTTAAACAAATTAACAATTTCCAATTTTTAATAGTGTAACTATAATTTAGTCGCCCATAAGCCTTGGCATGATAGTGGCTTTTCTGTCCTACAACCATTTTGAACTAAAGAATCCAATGTAAACTTGCAAAAAAAAAATTGTATTAAAATCGCTGAAGAAGGTACTTTTTTCCCTCTCTTTTCCTCTCATTTTGGGTATTTTGCTACGAGTTCTTTCTTGGATTCTTTTGTTTTCTCACCTTCTTTTCCCAAAGGCCGGGCATTAGGAGTTTTTCTTTGGGGCCAGGGGGTTTTTAGAAGTGCAAGCACAAAAACAATGAAATATTACAAAGTGTATCATATGAATGCGTGGGAATAACCATGGTGAGATCACACATCCCTGTCTAAAGCCAACTTTTACTGGGAAATAATATCCCTCTCTCCTGCATACTTTAACCTGAGCCTCACTATCCTTCTTAAAACTCTTAACTGCTTTCAGTAACCTACCACCTATTCCATACATAGTATATTTATTTAACCATTAAAATTAGGGCAGTTGTACAAACTTACAACTTGTTCTGAGTACTAATAAAGTACGGGCACTTATTCTTGCATCAGAAAATTTTTTAAATGAGTTAAGAATAGCAGAGGGTAAATATCTATGAAAGAAGAAAAAACTTAAGGTAGAAATGAGTAAAATATAAAAGATTATGAAAATGGGCAATGAATGAAAGGAGACATTGTAAATTAAAAATACAGTGGACCCCCCGGGGTTTAACGTATTTTTCCACTCCAAAAGTATGTTCGGTCCCAGTACTGCCCCGAATTTGTTCCCATAAGGAATATTGTAATAGATTAGCCCCATTTCAGCCCCCCAAACATACACGTACAAACGCACTTACATAAATACACTTACATAATTGGTCGCATTCGGAGGTGATCGTTATGCGGGGTCCACTGTAGGGTTTAAGTACTTAAGTATTTTTTCATGGTTTTTTGCTGAAACAACAAAACTTTTTACAGGGGTAGAAATCCTTTATGTTTAAAACCAAAATTTTGCTTATAGTAACAAAATTTACAAATTTAAATGAACTGTTATGAAAACTATATTTTGTAAAGTATACGGTTTGTTATAGAAATATTTTGGGAGACAAAAGAATCTTGACAGCCTTTGTGCAGAACTTGCAATTGTAGGAAGGAGCCAAAACTGCGTTTGGTTTTGCACAATATCTTTAAAATTTTATTTATTTTTTATTTTTTTTTACTTTGTGGCTTACAAAATTGAGGAAATTTTTGTTAAAATTAAACTGGTAAAAGATTAATGATAAATGTATAGTATTGCTCATTCTTGCACAAACTTCATATCAATATAAAAATGATTTTTCTTTTTTATATTAATTTTTATCCATTTGTAAGTGCGCATTTTAAATAAATGGAAACAAAAAATCATTATGAATGTTGAACATCTTGATCGACAAAATAGAAATTAAAATGATAAAAGAAACATAACCGTAAATTTAAAATTTTTTGAAAGTATTCATATTCTTTTACTTTCCTCAAAATGCATTTTGAAGATATGTTACCTATAATTTGCATACAGTGGAACCCCCAATTTCGTACTTAATCAGCCCAAAGGTTGTTAAAATCCAAAAAAGTGCAAAAAAACCGAAATAATAAAATACAATTAACCCCTTCGACACCCAAAAATATTAAACAAAAAAATAAATTTTTTAAAGATAACATATTTTACTTACAGAAACAAGGGGAAATAAATAAAAGCACTAAAGAAATGATAAAAAACATTTAAACATTTTTACCTTTATTGAAAACTCTTTTTGGGTATGAGGGAGGAGAAGTTTGTTTTTGGGGACGGACAAAATACTTAATAGATGCTATATACTCTATGGCTTATTTACACAGTTTATCTAATATGACAAACATAAAATTTAAAATAATAAAACATGATATTACTCTAGAATGAATAAAATATGTCGTTACGTAAGGACTAGGGGGGTGGGGGTGGTGTTGGGTTTTTTCAGGGTCACTGACAGCATAAGCCATGTAGTGGTGGTGGGGGAGGCGGGAGCAGCCCCCACCCTTCACTACTAGCACACTGAAAACCCCTAGTCACATGAAAAAACCACTATCACAAATGAAACCCCACTTCACTGAAACACCAAGTCACACTGAAAAAACCCCCTATCCACTGAAACAAAATATTTAATTTTTAAATAAGAAATATTGTCTAAAAAAATGTAAGAATGTAAAAAATAAGTAGTTATTTTGGGGTGAAAGAAATAGTGGTTTTTGAGATGCTGGAGAGGTTTAGGGGGGTGGAAGATACACAGGGGGGCATATTTTTTGGGCCCTAATAGTACCCCAACAACATTGGAAGATTTTGTTTCGTTTGTCCTATTTCTTCGCTTTAAACACTTAACAAAATTTCTACACTGTTAACCCCTTTCAGGGTCCAAAGGCCCAAAACTGAGTCACGCCAGTGTCCAAAAATTTTCAAAAAAAAAATTTTTTATTTTTTCTTATGAAATCGTAGAGAATCTTTTGTGAAGGTAATAAAACAAAAAGTACGAAATTTGGTGGAAAATTGACGAAATTATGCTCTCGCGAATTTTGATGTGTCAGCGATATTTACGAATCGGCGATTTTGCCGTCTTTGACTCCCATTTTAGGCCAATTACATTATTCCAATCAACCAAATTCTTAGCTATTTCACTATTATTACTTCTATTCTATCGATTGAGCACAAGAAATCGCCAAGTCAACTGTTTCAAACTACAAAATAAAGTGATCGGAAATTGTTAATTTGGCCAATTTAACACAAAGTTCAAAATATTCCAATTTCAAAATAGGGTCCAGAATGAACAATGTAGGCATTCCTGGCACTAAACTAACATTTCCTCTGTTCATTAGTTATGTTTTGAGGCTTTACAAATAAATTCCATTTTTATTTTTTTTCACATAATGAATTTTTATTCACACCAAAAAATAGAAGATTTACTGTTATGCAATACTGTAATAATTGTATAAATATCATCACCATATTTGTGAATGTATATTAGACCCACCAGCTGACGTGTATTAGACGTGTGAGGTCGTTTGTTTACTCTTGAATATTGGCAAAAATTTAACATTTCCGCTACTTTGAGCTCAGTTTTCAAGCCATTTCCAGTGCTAAAACCAATCAAAATCATCTCTATTTCTGTAATATGTCTTCCATTCTATCAAATGAGACCAAGAAATCGCAAATACAACTATAAAAAACATATGAAAAAACACTGCAAAGTTGCTGTTTTAATCGAAAAATCATGATTTCATTTTTTTTCTCTCATTATACACAGTGTGCTGCAGGATCTGTTTTATGTGGTGCACACATACCACATAGATGTATTCTCTCATATCTAGGCCCAAATGTACCACTCACAGTTTATCAAAGTGAGCTGAGCTCATGGCGTAGATCTACGGTTTGGACCCTGAACGTAAAGCCGTAGATCTACGGGACGGACCCTGAAAGGGTTAATGCTACACTTTATCGCTGGTTGGTACTATAGCCTTTATCAACTCCTGCTGCTCTAGTATCATACATATCATAGAATCACTGAATCACTGAAAAAGGCACATTCTCCCCTCTCTCTCAGCCCTTTACCAAAGGGATGGCACTAGGAACTTTCTTTGGGCCCATGGTGGCTTATTTCACAGTCACAATAAACAGGCACAAAAATTGCGAAATGTTTCGGATGAATGCTCACTCAACCAGTGACAGAGCCAGACTGAAGCAGCATCCCTGCGGGTGGACGTGTCTGATATGTGCGATTCCTGGGACAAGGTCCGAAATTCTAAGCAAAATTTAGCACAAAAAGTGTCTGAAATCCAAAAAGTTCGATATCTGGTGTGTGCGAAATCCAAGGTTCCACTATTTTGAATAAAAAGTAATATTATTTGCTTGTTTTTTGTTGTTTCACACCTGTAGAATTTATCGAACCTGTTAGTTTTGTATAGGAGGCTTCCTAATTTGGTATGGCTCTTCCCTCTTCCCCCCCAAAAGTACAAATGTGAGAATGGATTGCACATAAAAATAAAACCCTTTATCTTGTTGCTTTTTTACATAGTGACCAGAGACAGTGAGACCTTCTAATCTTAAGTGTTCCTATGATTTTTTCAGGTATGAGAAGAGCACCCAAGGATGGCACGAAAATGAGAAGAGAGAAGAAATGACAGAAGATGCTGCTTGGTACCTCATTGCTGTTGACACAGTGACAGAGAAACCCGTGGCTTTCTCTCATTTCCGCTTTGACATGGACTATGGACATGAAGTTTTATATTGGTATGACAGATATTTAATGTTAAAAAATGTATTTTTTCAACGAATTTAGTGTTGGTGAATACACATTCCAGTATTTAGTGTTAGTGAATACATATTCCATGTGTATGTGAAGGCACATATTTTTGTATTTTAGCTATGCAGCTGTAATTTTTTTAACTACTGGTTATCTTCCACCAGAGTAAGGTGACCCCAAAAAAGAAAACCTTCACCATCATTCATTTCATAATTTGCTTGCCAGAAGTGCACAGACATAATAATTGATTGACCCTCTAAACTGCAAGAACCCTACCTATTCTTCAGGAATGGTGTTAATATATTGTGAGCTCAAGATTTAAATTAATAATTTTTTAATGAAATGTATTGTAACACACCTGCCACCACCTACTTAAACAGGTTCTAACATTCACCATCATTCATTCAATAGCTCAAATGTGTCAGTTCAGATGACCCTCTTGAGCTGCATTATCCCCACCGCTGCAGAAAGCAGGCTCTACCCTTACCACTTACAGGACGCAAGTCTGGCTAACTAGTTTCCCTTAATAAATGTTACCTTGCTTGCACTCCAACTGCACATCAAACCGTCAAAACCACATTGTCTCCACTAACTGTGATCTAACATGCTTACACAGGCCTGCTGGAAGATCAGTCTTCTCTTATTTCAAAGCTTGATATATCCCCTTCCTCCAGTGTCTTCTAATTTCTGTGTTCTGAATTCTCTGAAAAATGTGCACACCACACATTACTCTCAAACATGCATGCCCATACAGATGATCGATGGACACTTGACCGACAGACATTTGACTGAAGAACATGTGGCTGAACAGACATTTCACCAAACGTTCATATGGCCGAATGGATGATTAGGTTAGGTTTGTTATTTTATGGCCTTCTTAATTTTGTTTATTTTTATTTATTTTATTGTTTGGGAACCATGCTGTGATGAATGCCACTTCAGCCATATGTCCATTCAGTCAAATGTCCTTTGGTGAAGTGTCTGTTGGCCAAATGTCCAGTAGCCCAAACACATCTCCATTACCTCTAGCCACTTCCTCACTGCAACATCCAGAGTCCAGGTATCTCACCCATATAAAGGTGTTGGTACTACTATACTCTGATGTATTCCCCCTTATTGCCTCCATTCACAAATAGCTCAACATTTCACCTACCTTTTCCCCTAATTCTATAGTTCACCTGGTCTTTTCATAGATCCATCTGCCAGCATATCCACTACTAAATATAAAAAATACATCTACTTCTTTGTATCCCCTCTCTCCTATACAGTATTCAATCTTTCATTACCTAGACTTTTTTTTTTCACTTGCTCTATTGTATGTTCACTTTTAACTTCATTCATTTACTCTCCTCCCAAACTCGTTCATAAATCATTGCAACTTAAGAACAGATATGACAACTCTCACTTCATCAGCTTTATCATCACCTCTTCCCAACACCCTGTTTTCACTGGAATACATTTCCCTTCCCTCCTACATACCCTAACCTGAACCTCACTCTATGCATAAGAACTATTTACTTTTAGTAATCAACCAATTGTTTCATACATTTTTGCAACTTCTGCTGCTTTGTTCCTCCTGTCCTAAATCCATATATGTTAAAAGCAGCTCCTTATCCTTATTTAAGTATTGCTTATATGTCAGTGTAAACTCTTGATCTACACATCCCCTACTCTTCCTAAATCCTCCTTGGCCTATGCAGTCTTCCTTTGTCTTATCCCTATCTCTAAAAACACATCAACTTTATGCTGTACCCAGTGTACTCGGCAGGCTTTTTTTTCCCTATTCTTACATTCCCTCTTGTCTCCTTTTCCCTTATACAAAGGAACTAAGGAGGTTAAGAAGTGCTGATCTTAAGTAATAGAAATCAACCCTTTTGCCAGCTATGAGCTGCATCTAGAGGTGGAATGTCGCAACAAGGGCCTTGGGAAGTTCATGATGCAAGTCCTGGAGCTGATGGCATTTTCAAATCAAATGCACAAGGTAGTGCTGACCGTATTCAAACACAACCCTGATGGCATGGCTTTCTTCACAAAATGCAGGTAATTTTAGGAGTTCCATTCAGCTTTTTGGAAATATTAACCCTTTGACTGTTTTGGTTGTATATGTCTTAATAGCAAATGTGTTTGACGTATATATACTGAAAAATTCTAGCGGCTTCAAATCAAGCAGGAGAAAGCTAGTAGGCCCACATGTGAGAGAATGGATCTGTATGGTCAGTGTGCGTAGTATAAAAAAATCCTGCAGCACGCAGTGCATAACGAGAGAAAAAACTCCGACTTTGAGGTGTATTTTCGTGTGTTATTTGTGGTTGTATTCTTGTTTTCTTGGTCTCATTTGAGAGAATGGAAAACGTATTATAGAAATAGAAGTGATTTTGATTGGTTTTACTATGAAAAGGATCTTGAAATGGAGCTCAAAGTAGCAGAAATGTTTGATTTTTGCCGATGTTCATGAGTAAACAAATGACGTCATTGACCAATAAATGTCCAACTAGCCATTCTAATACACAGTCATGAATGGGTTGGTGTTATTTATACAATTACAGTATTACAATATTGCAGTAGTCTGCATAACAGTAAATCTTCTATTTTTTGTGTGAATAAAAATTCAAAATAGAAAGCAAGAGTATTATAACAAGGGCCTGGAGATGTGACTGGTGAACAGAGAAATAGCTATTTTAGTGCCAAGAATGTCTGTATTGTTCATTCTGGACCCCATTTTGGAACTGACATATTTTTTAATTTGCATGAAATTGGCCAAATTGCCAATTTCTGACCACTTTATTGGGTGGTTGAAATTGGTAAATGGGCAGTTTCTTGTACTCAATCAATAAAATAAATGGAGTTCTAAAGAAATAGCTATGAGTTTGGTGGACTGGAACAATGGAATTGGCCGAAAATAGGGCTCAAAGTGGGCAAAATCACCAATGCGTAAATGTCGCTAACTTCACGAGAGCATAATTCCGTAAGTTTTTCATCAGATTTCATACTTTTGGTGTCATTATCATCAGGAAAAGATTCTCTATCATTTCATAAGAATTTTTTATTTTTTTCCTTCAAATATTTTGAAACACCAGGAGACACTTCAAGATCTGGGGTTGCAACAGTCAAGGGGTTAAAACTATGGCATTTATTGCAGAAGTACTTCATACCCTACCCAATACTTCTGCAGTAATTGTTGGGTTGAGCTGCCAATCTATTTTTATATATAAAACAGATTGCTTGTTTCTTATGCTTGCTTTAAATTCAGTCTTACTTTCACTGCAGATTTAACTGAAGCTCATTTCCTGCCCTGATTTTATAATCTCTCACCTTTGCAGTTAATCTCTTTACCTCCTGACTTAATTTTTAATGTCGGTCTTGCAAAGCTGTATGTCCTTTTGTAAATGTTATCCTAGTAATACCATGCAAGTATAACATTTACCACATCATGTACTAGTCAAGTTTATCATGTTAAATAATTGTGAAATTTGACCGATTGCTTGTGTGTGGCTAATAGGAAAAATTACTTGGTAGACTACTGGTGCATCTAGTGGAAAAGGTTCCAAACAGTATAAAAAATATATAGAGTGAGGTTCAGGAAATTAAGATTTGAGTGGAATTGCATGGTCTTAATCAAATCATTGGTAAGTCTACAAGTATTGTAAGATTTACCTTCATAATAACAAAGTATGTGGTTATAGTTCAAAGAATTTTTGTTCATTTAGTGGAGTTCTTTTATAGGTATGAAATTGACGAGACCTCGCCAGAAGACACTTACGAAGAAACTTTTGACTACAATATTCTCAGCAAGTTAAACAAGATGAAACCTACACAGAAGACTTCCCTCTGATTTTATGAAGTATTTTATAATCAATTACAAAGCACATCTGGACTGTTCCTTTATAGTTGCCAAATTTTTTTTCTTTAAAAGAGTCAGATGTAGCAGTGTGGTTTTAATTTAAGTATCAATTCATTTCATTTTCATTTTTGCTAATTGGTGTGGTGTTATTGAAACATTCCAGAATAAGATGATTTTTTTTTTATTTTTTATTTTTTTTTTTTTAGCAGATTTTAGGGTAAGCTTTTTCTTACACTTAATCACTCCTAAACTTGTGAAAATAAAATAAGTGATTAAAATGCAATAAATATATAGGGAGGTTATGAACATTTGCAGTATTTAAGAAAGGCCAAATAAATATTTAAGCAGCAAAGTCTTTTCTAGTCCTTTATGGTTATAGATGTACCAGTTCTTGTGAAATGTATTCATGTAATCCTCCAACACTAGTACTGCACTGTATAACCCTTGCAGTTGAGCACTTATAATCAAAAGAAGAATCCAACACTAGTAACAAATTAAGGGATACCTGGAGGGCATTTTGAGGGTCAGAGCCCCAGCAGCATGATCCATGACCAGGATTTGCTGTGGATCAGGGCCTGATCAGCCAGGTTGTTACTGCTGGCTGCATGCAGACTGACGTACAAACCCCAGCCTGGCTGGTCAGACACTAACTTTAGGGGTCTGTCCAGCTCCCTCTTGAAAACAACTAGGAGGTCTGTTGGTAATCCCCCTATGTATGCTGGGAGGAAGTTGAACACTTATTGTGTTGTCTCTTAGTTTACTCGTGGCACCCCTGCTTTTCACTTGGAGGATTTTGTATCACTTGAGTGTTTTGCTTTCATAGGGAGTGATTTTTGGTGTGTAGATTTGGGACTGGTCCCTCAAGGATTTTCCAAAGTGTGTATTATCATGTATCTTTCTAGTCTGCATTCCATGGAGTACAGGTCAAGGGCCTTCAACTGTTCCCAGTAATTTAGGTTCCTTATGGTACTTAAATGTGCAATAAAAGTTCTCTGTATATTCTCCAGGTCTGCAATTTTGCCTGCATCGAAAGGGGCCATTAGTGTACAGAAATATTCCAGCCAGAGAGAGCAAGCTATCTGAAGTAATAAAGGTAGAATTACCGACAATATGTAAAGTAAAAGGACACAAGTGCAACTAATGTGACATTTTATGGCAACGTTTCGTTCTCCAGGAGCTTTATCAAGCCTTTACAAACAATATATGGACACAGAGGGTATATGTAGGCTCAGAGTGAGGTGCAATACTAGTGGTAGTAGTAGAAGTAATACAATATGTAGAACAATTAACTTGCACATGAGTAAACAATATAAAGGCTATTACTTGGGAAACATAAAAATTGGTTAGACAAATATTTCTATTGGAGGCTGGATAGAGAAGACCTGTTTCAATGTTCATTCTCTGTAATGTGCTTGTGTGGTATTAACAGGAGAGACTATGTGATAGCAGGATTTACTGTTTTCAGGAGGATTCTTGCTAAGACTTCAGAGATGGTGAAGCTGCCTTTGTTTTGTTTAATTGTATTAGAAACAGCTATTAGTGAAGATTCAAGGCACTTGCGTCTGCGGAAATTAGTTTCTTTGATCACTAGTTGAGCTTCCCTGAACTTCATGAGATGATTGGTGGAATTTCGGTGTTGTACACAGGCGTTGTTCAATTTATCGTTCCTACATGCATAAATGTGTTCATTGAGGCGGGTGTCGAGGTTTCTTGCTGTTTCACCTACATAAATCTTGTCGCATCCTCCACAGGGTATAGTGTAGACCCCTGTGTTGACTGGTTCGTGGTGCTTGGATTTTGTTCTGGTTAGATCCTTTATCGAAGTGCTGGAAGCGATGGCGACTGGTGTTAGCTCGTGAAACACCAGAGTCGCCATCGCTTCCAGCACTTCGATAAAGGATCTAACCAGAACAAAATCCAAGCACCACAAACCAGTCAACGCAGGGGTCTACACTATACCCTGTGGAGGCTGCGACAAGATTTATGTAGGTGAAACAGCAAGAAACCTCGACACCTGCCTCAATGAACACATTTATGCATGTAGGAACAATAACTTGAACAACGCCTGTGTACAACACCGAAATTCCACCAATCATCTCATGAAGTTCAGGGAAGCCCAACTAGTGATCAAAGAAACTAATTTCCACAGATGCAAGTGCCTTGAATCTTCACTAATAGCTGCTTCTAATACAATTAAACAAAACAAAGGCAGCTTCACCATCTCTGAAGTCTTAGCAAGAATCCTCCTGAAAACAGTAAATCCTGCTATCACAGTCTCTCCTGTTAATACTACACAAGCACATTACAGAGAATGAACATTGAAACAGGCCTTCTCTATCCAGCCTCCAATAGAAATATTTGTCTAACCAATTTTTATGTTTCCCAAGTAATAGCCTTTACATCGTTTACTCATGTGCAAGTTAATTGTTCTACATATTGTATTACTTCTACTACTACTACTACTACTACCACTAGTATTGCACCTCACTCTGAGCCTATATATACCCTCTGTGTCCATGTACTGTTTGTAATGGCTTGATAAAGCTCCTGGAGAGCAAAACGTTGCCATAAAATGTCACATTAGTTAGCTTGTAAAGTAAAAGGACACAAGTGTATCTGAAGAGAATAATCATTGGCTTGGCATCCCTAGTTTTGAATGTTCTCATTATCCATCCTATCATTTCTCATAGATGTAGTAGATACATCGTTGCGAGGTCTCTGAAAGTGAAAGTCTCTGACATTACCACTCCTAGGTCCTTCACATTAGTTTTTCACTCTCCAGCAGCAACAGCCTGGTTGACCAGGCTAGCACTAGATGAGCCTGGCCCATGGCCAGGCTCCAGTAGAAGAAACACTCAAAACTCATTGAAGGTAAGATATCGAAAGAATTTATTTTATTCTCTGATAGTTTTTATTTCTTAGAGTTTTTCATAGAGTAACTGAAATTTGTTTTTATTGAACTTCACATCATTTTCTGATGCCCATTTAAAGTCCTTGATGGATGACACCCATGCAAATTGTTATTGTCAGCAAAGGAGGACACTGTGCTGTGGCTTTTATCTCTGTCATATATGAGGATGAGGAAAAGGATGGAGGGCAAGTACTGACCCTTGTGGACCCAGAGTTTTTCACTGTAGCCTCTGACTTTACTCTGTTTACTGTTACTCTGTATACAGTTTGTTAGGAAGTTACAGATTCATCTACCAACTTTTCTTGTTATTCCTTTATTTTGCATTTTGTGTGCTATTATGCCATGATCGCACTTGTTGATGGCTGTCGTAAAGTCTGTATACTACATCTGTATTTTGATTGTTCTCCGATACATCCAAGACCAGGTTGTAGTGATCCAGTAGCTGTGAGAGGCAGGAGTGACTTGCTCTAAACCCATGCTGCCCTGGGTTGTGCAACTGATGAGTTTCCAAGTGGTTGGTGAACTTGCTTCTTAGAACCCTTTCAAAAATTTTTGATGTGGGACAGTGCAATCGGTCTGTAATTCTTGGCAATTCCTTAACTGCCACTCTCGTGGAGTGGGTCTATATCTGTTGGTTTTAGTGACTGTGGGATGACCTGTGGCCATGCTCCTGCCCCATAGAATAGTTAATACATGTGAAAGGGGTTTCTTGCAGCTCTTGATGAACACAGAGCTCCACGAGTCTGGGTCTGGGGCAGAGTGTGTGGGCATGAATGATATTATTGCATTCACAGGGAAGTGCTAAACCCATATGGGTTGTATAGCATCTATGAGAGTGGGAGGCATTCAGATTTGATGGAAGGAAGGGGAGAGCAGGTCCAGTTCCATGGATCACGAGCAGCTCATTGGCATCAAGGAATCCCTCAATTTTTAAAGCATATTTTCTTTACATGGTACCAGGGTTGTGGAGTTGGAGTTGGAAGCAATTCTTGGGTTACTGGAGTAGATAAAGTGTAATTAAAGGAGTCAGAGTCAGAGGTCCCATAAATAAAGGAGTCTGAGTTGAAGACTATGTGCCGACTCCACAGCCCTGCAAGGTACTCGCCTAGTAATAGCTGGAGGAGTTGAGTTACCACTCCTGTGTATATGTAAGTAATGTCACACACACACAGTAATAATTTGAGTTTTTCTGTTGGAATACAATAGTATCATCAATGGTAGGGTTGATCCAGTATAAAAAATAGTCTGCATAAGCAAGGCTTGTGGAATATTATACAATTGTGGATGTTAGTACAGTATTTTATTCAATCAGCAAGTATATGAAATTATGACAAATAATACAGTAAGGCACATGTAATGGAAAACTAGAGAACTTGTAGGGTTAAGTTTTGCCAGTGTATACAGCAATACCTTGAATAGTACAGTTTTGAACAGTATGGGTTTTGATATCCAGTTTATAAATTTAATAATATAATTGCATTACACACTAATATTGGACTGCTTCTATGTACTGGACTAGCGCATTGAGAACATCGGTATCGCTCCAGACTGAGCAGTGAAGTTGTGTAGCCTTATAAGACACTGATACTGTATAAGTGTCAGGGGCCCAAGACTTCAACTCCCTCCCAGCATACATAAGGGGGATTACCAATAGACCCCTGGCTGTCTTCAAGAAGGCACTGGACAGGCACCTCAAGTTACTACCTGACCAGCTGAGCTGTGGTTCGTACATTGGGTTGTGTGCGGCCAACAGTAACAGCCTAGTTGATCAGGCCCTGATCCACCATGAGGCCTGGTCACAGACCGGGGCGTTGACCCCCCTGCTACCCCTCTCCAGGTGTACACAATTTTTTTTCTTTATATAATTAAGTACTGGTACCCCTTGTATATGCAAATATGAGTGGAAAGAGGAAATGCAATGACACCGAGTGTAATGACACCTAACCTACTTGTTTAAAGACTGCTCAGCTTTACAACCAGCTCTCTGACCAGTTGGTATTGTAAGCTGTGCGAGAACTTTGGTCGTAGAAATGGCAGCACATCTCAGCATCAAGCATCTCATCTCGCATCACCCTTTCTCAATCTCAGGCTCGTTCCCTTGGTTGATAGTCACTCAATCTAGTTAATAAGCCTAGTCATTATAGTCAGTCAAGTGAGTTTATTCAGGTAAACATACACATAATGGGATTCTTCTTGAAAGTTACATCCAGGACCCTTACCCCTACAAGTCCCTCCATTTCTTAGCCGTCATCTCCCTTACCTGGGCCCTCTACAGTAGCTGATAAGCCTGCTGATAGCTCCGATGATGCTGATGACTTTTTCTTTATTCAGAATAAATGAAAACGATTACCTGTATTTACAGTATGCATACCTAAGTAATGTATATTAGAGCTGTATACACATTAGATGCTTTAAATATCACATAGGTGGCGTAGAGAGAACGAGTAAACGAGAGAGAGAAGAGATGCCAAGAATATAAACACAAATGAATGTGTATTAATTCCTGTAGGCATATGGTTGGTTCATACATGATAACAGTGAGCATCTAAGAAATTATTAAACTCAGTGAACAAGGTATGTCAATGGTAATAATATGACATTTCAAGTGCTCCAAAACAATTATTATTATTACTGTACTACTACCATCAGCATATTTTGTTCACCGAGTATTCATTTCTTACGATGCCATGAGAGACCCAGAGATATGCCGAGAATGTAAACACACAGATGAACATACCGGCTAACCCCTTTACAGTGAACTTCTTTTGTACTTCTTCCAGTTTCCTCTTGTTTTCCCTCTTCCAAGTGCTGCTGCACATCTGTCTTGTACTATGGGGGTGCACAGTAAAGTACAAATTTATAGCCAAAATATATGGTCTTGGAGATTGCTTGATGCTGAGATGCATCACTAACCCCTTTACAGTTAACTTTTTTTGTATTTCTTCCCCCCTCAAAGGAGGTTCCTTTGACACTGGTGAGGGGCTCTTGATCTAGGGAATTGGATCTGTGCTCTAGTTCCCTGAATTGAGAGTGAATGCCTTCCATCTCAATCCCCCCCACAGGTGCTGTATAATCCTACGGGTTTAGCACTCTCCCATGAGTATAATAATAATAATAATGTACTTCCATTCTTTGCTCTTTTTCCTCTTTCTACAATACACACCTCTCATCCTACATTAGGACTACAAATATTTTAAGGTAAGTAATGAGTGTACTGTGTATACATTGTATTGCTATAATAAATGCTACTCACCTCTCACCTTACGTTAAGACTACAAATATTTTTAGGTAAGTACTGTATTTCGCGGCTTATAAGACTTGTTTTAGTTTCAATGGCTCGGCATCAGACGTAACTGGGAGAGCTATAGCCCATCCCACACCCCAAACTTATAGCTCTCGTCACTGACCATCAGTTTTTAGGACGCAGGGTGGTTTTTGGAGACATTTTATGGGACAAAACATGCGTCTAATAAGCTTCAAAATACGGTAATGAGTGTACTGTATGTGTATTTTACTTTCTTATTGTTTTGAATGCCTAGTTCTGTTTTTAATATAGTACTAAAAATGTTATAAATAGTGCAAAGGTGGCATTAAAACAATATCTAAAGATGGTTGACACAAACCCACTACCAGTACAGTATGCTTGAAATATCAGTAAGGGGTGACTCCTTGTTTAACGACCAATTCACTTACCGACCTACTCTTAGGAATCTAAATCGGTTGTTAAGTGAGGAGTACCTGTAAATGTAAATGGTTAACATTAGATGAAAAACTAGAAAGTATAAAACATGAAGATGTATCAAATGGTAAAATAGCACATAAGAAAATGAATAAAGCATCTGTATGTGCACATATAAGGAATAAAGATAAAAAGATATGGAATGGCTATATCTTATGTCAAAAGAGATCATTAAAAACTGTAGTTCTGAAATGGATAATATAGAATGTCTTTTAATGTTATGGATTGAAGACTAGCCAGAAAAAAAAAATTCCATTAAGTCGGATTATGATTCAAGTTAAAGCAACAAGCCTCAGTTCAATATTAAAAAAAGAAAACTGCAATGATGGGGAAAGTTTTTGGCAAGTCATGGCTGGTTTTATGACTAAAAAGCATATGCGACTCCATAATGTTTGAATTACTGGTCGAAGTGCCATTGCAGACAATGAGACAGCTGCGAGATTTCCTAATGATCTAACAAAAATTTAATTAAGAAAATGACTACAAAGACAAACAAATTTTTAACGTAGATGAAATGGGTTTGTTCTCAAAGAAGATGCAGTTATGCGCTTATTTGGTAGAAAGAATCATCACAACCAGGATATAAAGTCTCCAGAGACAGTTTAACACTTATTAGATAGGAATGCATCTGGTGACTTTAAAGCTTATGCTGGTGTACAGAATGGAAAATCCAAGGGCTCATAAATCCTATTCAAAAAATGTGTGAAAGTAGAAGATACTTGTGACTTCATAATGAATATGGATCCAAACACTGAATGAGGAATTAGGCAGGCATTACAAAATGACATTTGATGCTATAAAGACATGTATGCTGATAAAAAGAAACAACTGTGCAAACTATGTCGTTCAACTATTTACGGTACACTATTTACAACTGAAATAAAAATTTTTGGTACTACTATTTTGTCATTTTTATCTTTGGTAATTTCTTTATCTTCAAGTGTGTGCCAGAGTTTCATGTGCACTGATTTGTGATTTGTACAAAGCAAACAGCTAAATATTTTTGCGATCCGATGTACTATTTAATTGTATTGCTGGAACACATTACATTAAAATATGGTTTACCTGGAGAGGGTTTTGGGGGTCGACGCCCCCATGGCTCGGTCTGAGACCAGGCCTCACTGTGGATCACGGTCTGATCAACCAGGCTGTTGCTATTGGCTGCATGCAAGCTGACATACGAACCAGCCCGGTTAGTCAGGTACAGACTTAAGGTGCCTGTCCAGTGCCTTTTTAACCCTTTCAGGGTTCATGCCGTACTAGTACGGCTTGCACACCAGGGTTGGTGCCGTACTAGTACGCCTAAATTCTAGTGCCTTCAAATCTAGTTAGAGAAAGCTGGTAGGTCTACATATGAAAGAATGGTTCTGTGGTCAGTGTGCGTAGTATAAAAAAAAATCCTGCAGCACACAGTGCATAATGAGAAAAAAAAAACTCCGACCGTGTTTTTGGTTTAAAACAGCGACTTTGCAGTGTATTTTTGTATGCTATTTATGGTTGTGTTCCAGTTTTTCTGGTCTCTTTTTAAAGAATGGAAGACATATTACGGAAATTGGGATGGTTTTTATTGGTTTCACAATGAAAAGTACCTTGAAATTGAGCTCAAAGTAGCAGAAATGTTCGATTTTTGCCAAAGTTCAAAAGTAAATAAATCAAGCCACATGTCCAATATGTGTCAACTGGTGAGTCTAATATTCTTTCACAAGTACGCTGATATTATTTATACCATTTCTACACCATTTCTATACTAATGCAGTAGTCTGCATAACAGTAAATCTTCTATTTTTTGTGAGAATAAAAATTCAAAGTGGAAAGCAAAAGAAATGTAACAGAGGCCTGGGGACGTGACTAATGAACAGAGAAACTGTTATTTTAGTGCCAGGAATGTCTGTCTTGTTTATTCTGGACCCTATTTGGAAATTGGCATCTTTTGAAATTTGTGTGAAATTGGCAAAATTGCCAATTTTGGACCACTTCATTGGATAGTTGAAATTGGTAAATGGTGGTTTCTTGTACTCATTCGATAGAAATAATGGAGTTCTAGCAAAATAGTTATGATTTTTGTCGACTGGTACATTGGAATTGGCCGAAAATAGGGCTCAAAGTGGGCAAAATCGCCGATGCATAAACATTGTTGAGACCGCTAACTTTGCGAGAGCATAATTCCGTAAGTTTTCCATCAAATTTCATACTTTTGGTGTCATTATGATCGGGAAAAGATTCTCTATTATTTCATGAGAAAAAATAATTATTTTTTTTCGAAAAATTTCCAACCCTGAGAACAAGTTTCGGAGAGGGCCTGCCAACCCTGAAAGGGTTAAAGACAGCCAGGAGTCTATCGGTAATCCCCCTTATGTAGGCTGGTAGGCGGTTGAACAGTCTTGGACCCCGGACACTTACTGTGTTGTCTCTCAATGTGCTCGTTGCGCCCCTGCTTTTCATTGGGAGAATGTTGCATCTCCTGCCGAGTCTTTTGCTTTCATAGGGAGTGATTTTTGTGTGCAGGTTTGGTACGAATCCCTCCAGGATCTTCCAAGTGTATATTATCATGTATCTCTGGCCTGTGTTCCAGGGAATACAGATCAAGGATCTTCAACCGTTCCCAGTAATTTAGGTGCCTTATCGTGTTTATATGTGCAGTGAAAGTTCTTTGTACACTCTCCAGGTCTGCAATGTCACCAAGCTTTGAAGGGGGCTGTTAGTGTACAGCAGTATTCCAGCCAAGAGAGCACAAGCGATTTGAAGAGAATCATCATGGGCTTGGCGTCCCTAGTTTTGAAGGTTCTCATTATTCATCCTACCATTTTCCTAGCAGATGAGGTAGATACATTGTTGTGGTCTTTGAAGGTGAGGTCCTGTGACGTTATCACTCCCAGGTAATGCATAGTATGGTACAGTGGACCCCCGGTTAACGATTTTAATCCGTGCAAGAGGGCTCATCGTTATGCGAAATAATCGTTATGCGAATGAATTTTCCCCATAAGAAATAATGGAAATCAAATTAATCCGTGCAAGACGCCCAAAAGTATGAAAAAAATTTTTTTTTACCACATGAAATGTTAATTTTAATACACACAAACTGAAAAAGGCATGCACAATTAAATGACACTTACTTTTATGAAGATCTGGTGATGATTGATGGGATGGGAGGAGGGGAGAGCATTATCTTCTTACTGTTTAGAAGGGGAATCCCCTTCCATTACGACTTGAGGTAGCAAGTCCTTTTCCGGGGTTACTTCCCTTCTTCTTTTAATGCCACTAGGACCAGCTTGAGAGTCACTGGACCTCTGCGCACAACAAATCTGTCCATAGAGCTCTGTACCTCCCGTTCCTTTACGATTTGTCTAAAATGGGCCACAACATTGTCATTGAAATAGTCACCAGCACGGCTTGCAACAGCTGTGTCAGGGTGATTTTCATCTATAAAGGTTTGCAGTTCAACCCACTGTGCACACATTTCCTTAATCTTTGAAGTAGGCACAATGGATTCCACAACTGGCATAGGCTTCTCAGGGTTAGCCCCAAACCCTTCAAAATCTTTCTTAATTTCCATACTAATTCTCACCCTTTTTACCACAGGGTTGGCACTAGAAGCTTTCTTGGGGCCCATGGTCACTTATTTTCCAGAAACAGCACCGAAAACACTGTAATAATACGAAATATTCCGAGTGTATGCTTGGATGTTACCGCGGAGGCTGGCTGGTAAACAATGGGACGGCCGGCACATGTGAGGCTGGCTGAGGGCACATTGGACGCGTCTCGGACGAAAATCGGTAAGCGGGTTTTTAATCGGTATGCGCGGCAAAAATTTTGCGATAAAAGTAATCGGTATGCGGAAAAATCGCTATGTGATGCCATCGTTATGCGGGGGTCCACTGTATTTTTTTTGACACATTAACTGCACCATGCAAGGTATTGCTTTAATTTTTTTTTTTTTTACACATCGGCCGTTTCCCACCGAGGCAGGGTGATCCAAAAAAGAAGAGAAACCCAAAAAGAAAGAAAAAACTTTCATCATCATTCAACATTTTCACCATCATTCATACATAATTACAGTGGACCCCCGAGTTTCTTGATTAATCCATTCCAGAGAGCCTGCCGAAAGTCGAAATTGCCGAATGGCGAAACCATTTTCCCCATAAGAAATAATGGAAATAAAATTAATCCATTCCAGACACCCAAAAATATTAAAATAAAATATTTTCTTTTTCAAATTAAATAAAGATTTACACACTGAAAACAATGAGAAATCAAGTACATGCATATAAAAAATAATAATAACATTACATTTACCTTTACTGAAGACTTCTGGGTGGATGGAAGACAGGAGGAGGGGATAGGAGGAAGGTGTACACTATTGTTTGGAAGGAGAATCTCCTTCCATTAGGACTTCAGGTATGAAGTCCTTATCTGGGGTTACTTCCCTTCTTTGTTTTTTAAAGACACTGGCACTGGGAACAACTTGAGAGTCACTGGAACCCTGTCACACAAAATATGTCCAGAGAGCTCTGTTTCTGGTATTTCTTTAAGATATGTCTGAAGTGGGACACAACACTGTCATTGTACATGTTGCCAATACGGCCTGCAACAGCTTTGTTAGGGTGAAGTTCATCCATAAATGTTTGCACTTCAGTCCACTTTGCACAAATGTCCTTAATCTTTGAAGAAGGCACCTTCCTCCATATCTCTTCCTCCTCCTCTGCAGCAGTTTCCTGAGCTGTGATCTCTTGCTGTTGCAGATGAAGCTCTTGCAGCTCTTCAGTGGTTAGCTCTTCCCTGTGGTCCTCCACCAACTCTTCCACATCCTCACCACTCACCTCCAACCCCAGGGAGGTTGGACAACTGGCATAGGCTCCTTAGGGTCAGCCCCAAACCCTTCAAAATTCCTCTCTTGGACACAACCTGGCCACAATTTTCTCCAAGCAGAGTTCAAAGTCCTGGAAGTCACTCCCTCCCAAGACTTACCTATAAGGTTTATGCAATGGAGGATATTAAAGTGATCTTTCCAGAACTCTCTTAGAGGCCAATTCTGTGTCTGAGGTCACTTCAAAGCACTTTTGAAACACTGCTTTCTGTGTAGAGTATTTTGAAGTTTGAAATGACCTGCTGGTCCATGGGCTGGAGGAGAGGAGTTGTATTAGGGGGCAAGAACCTCACCGTGATGAAACTAAACTCCTCCACTATTTGCTCTTCCAAGTCTGGAGGATGAGCAGGAGCATTGTCCATTACCAGGAGGCACTTGAGTGACAGTTTATTTTCCAGGAGGTATTTCTTCACACTAGGGCCAAACACTTCATTAAACCAGTCTAGGAAAATTCCCCTTGTGACCCATGCCTTATTGTTAGCCTTCCACATCACACACAAATTACTCTTGGCGACATTGTTTTTCTTGAACACTGGAATTTTCAGTGATACACCAATAAAGGCTTCACTTTAAAATCCCCACTAGCATTACTACAAAACATGAGAGTAAGCCTGTCCTTCATAGGCTCGTGTCCTGGGAGTGCCGTTTCCTCCTGCGTGATGTAGGTCCTCTTTGGCATTTTCTTTCAAAAGAGGCCTGTTTCGTCACAATTAAACACTTGTTGGGATTTGAATTCTCCAGTGTCTACGCACTCCTTAAACTCCTGTACAAACTTCTCAGCTGCAATTTTGTCAGAACTGGCAGCCTCACCATGCCTTTTCACACTGTGAATGCCACTACACTTCTTAAATCTCTCAAACCAACCTTTGCTGGCCTTAAAATCACAAGCATCACCACTTGTTGCAGGCATTTTCTTTATGAGATCGCCATGCAACTGCCTTGCCTTTTCACATATTACCGACTGCGTAACACTATCTCCTGCTAACTGTTTTTGGGTAATCCACACGAACAATAACCTCTCCACTTCTTCGAGGATTTGTGATCTTTTTGTCAGCATATCTACCCCTTTTGCAACAACAGCACACTTTATTTCCTTTCCTTTCCTTTCGCCACGATCGAAGTGATGGTTGAATGGGGTTTGCCATACATCTAGCAAGCTCTAACACGCACTCCACTCTCATAATTTTCAATGATTTCCTTCTTGAATTCGATTGTGTTCCTCACTTTCTTTACCATAGGGCTTGCACTAGCTTTGCTTGGGCCCATGGTGACTTATTTAGCAGTTGCAATCACAAAAAGCAATGGATTATTACGTATGAACCCACGGAGTGATGGTCATGTGTTGGTAAACAATGGCACACTGAGCGTGAATGGCGTGGGAGACTGGCTTTGTGTGTGTGGTGACGGGCGGGCGGGTCCGGATGGTCGCCGAATCACGAAGCGCGAGGCCAAATTTTGCCGAAAAAACTTGCCGAAAGTCGGATTTCACGAAAGTCGATGCCGCTGAAACTCGAGGTCCACTGTACTGTGTTAAATATGGTGTTACTAAAGTTGAGAAAATGTTTGGCATTGTGTATTTTTATAGAATTTTTTCAATTAATCATTTACTCTTAATAAAACTATGTATATAAATTCAAGGAAGCTAATGTAATTAAATCTAATATGAAAGCTAATAAATAATTTGGAATTTCTTCTCATTGGAAGACTTTAAGAACTAAGAAATACATTTAAATGGAACACTAATAAAATCTCTAAGACATCATATCCAAACATAACAGGACCTAAAATTTACATACTATATTCAGGATGAAGGAAAGAGTTCAACAGGACCCAGAGCAGGTATGCGAGGTACAACTCCTGCTCCCAGAGGGATGCCTCGTTTTGGAATGTAGGGACCCTGGCGCTCGACCATTCTAGTCAAATTATAAAATTCATATAAATGTATGCTTTATTAATTTCCTTACAAAACTAGACGATAGCCAGTAATATGACAACAAGTATTTAGGAATATATAATACTTTTTTTAAACAATATTAGGAAACAGTATTATAGTCTAATGGTTGTTTAACATACCTGATGCAGTCAATAATGGGACAGACGGACACACACAGAGTGCATCCTGTACAGTCGTCTAATACTCTTGGCAAGTGAGTCTTGGGGTTAAAGATGATTGCTTGATAGCCTGAATCATTACAGGTCATATAACATTTACCACAGTTGATACACATGTCCTGTTGGGAAATATTTTAATATAATGTACTGCAATATTAAATACATCAGTATAATATGTAATTAATAAGGTACAGGTTTCCCTTATATTAAATGATTGTACATGCATTGCCAGATTCTGTAGCTATAGTTTACCTACTTGGATCAAGTATACCTCATTTACTACATACAGTTAACACTAAAGTTTCATCTGGTGGGTTATTACTATGAACAGCTTTCTTTTATTTTTTAAGGTGGGGTATTGTGTGTTCCTTTGATGCCAAGGGCTATACTGGTCATGACTGAGAACACACACTATGAACTGCCCCTAAAGTGATTGCCATGCACAGAAACCTCTAATGCTCACTCTCTCCTTACTGAGAATTTGGGTTTGACCCCTGTAGCTTTTGCCTATAAAAGCCTTCACTAGTATTTTGTTTATGTTAGATAACAGCCTTACTTTAATTTTTAAAAACTGACAACTACACATGCTGTATATCAGTTATGATATCCATAAGCATGGATATAATCTACATATGTACTGTACACCACTTATTTTTGCCAAATGAGTCAAAGATATATATGATAGATAATAGTACTGGATAAAATGAACTAATAAATAACCACAACTAAAGAGAATAAAATATTACATACTTCATCAATGAGTGCAACCTTCTGTTGATTGTTATCCAGGTCTCCATATGTTCCAATCATAGGCAATGCTTTACCAACTAGAGTCTGAATGGATGGGATGCCATATTTTGGAGCATCAATGCTGCGAGGTTTAGGACATGGTTCTAAAATGTCTGTCATAACTTTATGCTCTGTGATGGCCTTCTCTTTTTCAGACTTATCCAGACCAAAATTTGCAAGACCCTGTGGAAAGTTTCTTTTTGTAGGTTATACTCTTAAGTATTATAAACTTTAGAAAAAGAAAGGGAAAATTATCTAGAAGTGATTTAGAAATTTCATCATCAATATTATAGTAGTGCACTAAAAGAGCACTGATAACCTTAGGTGAATTCAAGCAGATTGTACATTTTGAGAATATTACAGTATCAGTAGAAATAGTGTAGAGTTGAGATTATCTGAGCTTTAGTTTAAAGCATATTATTATTATTACAATAAAAGTTAAGTGCTAAACTCACAAGGGTCATTCAGAGTTTAAGCATAAATAATAAATATAATTTGATGACATCAGTTATGTCCACCTGCTGGTCTTAAAGACTATTTACTGCTAATATTTTGTACTTTTCCCCCCTCTCACACTTGTGCTAGGTTTTGCACAGGCATTTAATAACAACAACAAAAAAAAAGTTTGTTGCAGTGCAGACAATAAAGCTAAAGGTATAAAACATGTAGCTTACCTTGCCAACAACACTGCTAAGATTCACTATGGGTTTGCCAAGCTGGTGCTGAGGAGTAGGAGGAGACTGGCCAAGCCAGTCCTTCTTGGACTCAAGGGAGTTTAGATACAGCAAAGCTTTAAGGCCAAGAATATAATCTTCAATGACTGTAAAGTCTTGGTTCTGCACTGAGCTACATACCTGTGGTTTTGGAAATTTATTATCCACAGTACAATATAAAAATTTGAATTTAACAGGTTGTGACATTTTTTACAGACTTACTGACTGACTTTACATTTTAACAATAGCTCAAAAATTAAATGTTTTAACAAGATTTATGCCAGTGTATGTTTTTAAAAGCTTAAACTTTTCCCGCTCCCTGCGGCCATTCCCACGGGAGCGGTAACTGTGCCGCACCACTAGTTCACTTAACTTGAATTTTATTCCATTTGATATAACTGATCTTCTAGGTTTTTATGTTGTTTAAATTCATATTTATTGAACTGTATAATACTTGCGTTAAGAGTTGTTGCATCTAAACTGTTACGTTTTTGTCCTGCCTTCCAAGACAAGAATCGCTGGAAAGATTAATGATATTCAGTTAATTTAAATTAGAAATTGGTTTGGTATACGAAATTGGAGGCGACTAGGTCGCAGGGCAGATTAACTCATAAGTTGAGGTCCACTGTATTGTGTTTTTTTCTGTGATAAGCGCCCTAGAATTTTTGGGTATATAATGTACGTATACAAAAGTATCCATGTAAATGCTCATAGGTTCGGTGTTCCCTGTAATTAATATAAAGAAAAGTATTGAAGCATTCCCTAACCTGCAGTGCTGAGGCACCGCCCAGCAAGAACTGAAATCCAGCATCTGCAGAATCTATACCACCAGTGGCAAGGATGGGAAAGTTGGGCAAGGCTCGACCAATGGCAGTTACAGCACGGAGAGCAATTGGACGAATTGCATTACCTTTTAAAGGCAAGATTTAAAAAATTAATAAAAAAATATTCATTAAAATAATACTTGTTAACATGTAAATGAAATGAATAGGCTAGCAATGTACAAAAGTGTTAATAATGGTCTGATAGTTAATTATCTTGAGTTGCTCAGATCAAGGACTGTGCCAAGGGAAATAAGAATTCTACACTGTAGAAATGGTTATATACATATATGAAAAGAAACAACGAATGGATGTGGAAATGTTAAGCCAACATTAGTATATGTATGATTGTGAAGACAATGTATGAAATAATTTATTTTCAAGGGAGGATGGGGCTCATGATCTGAGGAATTGGAGCTACCTGTGTCCCCTCTCTTTGGCTCAGACCTGTAGATAATTTTTTTTTCTTTTTTTTTTTTGTTAAGATTTGATTATTCGTTGAGATATGCCTTTCACTTTAGACATTAGACTTTTTTACTGAGGCACTGTACATTAACCAGTACATTCTGACAATGCTGCTAATGTCAATAAGAAAGTCGATATTCTATAGAGACAAAATGGATGAATTAAGCATAAATTGGGGTTTACAAAAATGTGAAATTGTTTTCGTCAAGTGATGTGTTCATAGCTTGTTAATTTACTTACCTACTACTAGCAGATAAGCATCTGAGGATCTTTTTATATATAATGTTGGGGGCAAGGAGCTAGTGACCCCTTCTGTATACATTACTAAAGTTAAAAAGAGAAACTTTTGTTTTTCTTTTTCGGCCACCCTGCCTCAGTGGGATAAGGCTGGTTTGTTGAAAGAAGAATGTGTATTTGTATGGCTGAAACATATTTCAAAAAAGATGAGCATGCAATATTTAAGGCAAAATTAATAATTATAGGCATACTTACCCGAGACTCCTCCATACGTTGTCCTCCTTTCCTTACCAATAGATGGCCAAGCTGACCCATCTGGTCGAATAGCCATTAAGCCAGACACTGTGTTAGTAGCAGTCACACCATCTGCTCCACCTTATAAAAACAAAATTTTTAATACTGCATGCAAATGAGGAATAATTTTTGTTGAAAACTATCTCTGTATGACACAAAGCATTTTCTAGCCATGTCTTAGTCAAAAGTTTTGGGATATTTTGCATTAGAAAAACCATAAACTAAACTATTATAACTTTTTCAAGGAATGGACAAGCTTTGAACAAGTAACCTAGAATTCACTGGTCCATCATACTGATTATTAAACACTAGAGTAATGGCAGGCACTGTATGACCCCTACAGGTTTATTATACATTATCAACTGAGAAAGTCATATAAAAATATAGAATAAAATTCTCTCTGGAAAATATAAATATTTTTGTTTAAATTGCCACCAGGGTGCATTGTGTCTTTAAAACAAGGGAAATTTCATGTCAACAATTTTGCAAATTTTAATTAACTGAATTAGGCATTATTAAGGCATTGTAAGATTAGTTCATTAGTTCTACTGCACAGTATATAAAACTAGCAATATGAGTAAACAATAGTGTACACACAACCTTGGTATTTACAAACTTATCATTACTGCTGAATGAGAACTTTACTAATGTAAATAAAATGTGCTGCATTAATAATAAAGTTTTTACCTTCATGTGCTGCCTTAGCAATGGTAACAATATTGGTGACATTGGGAGTGAGCTTTGCAAAGAAGGGGATGGTAGTTGCAGCACGGACCCAGCGGCAGATATTTAGAACCAATTCTGGATCCTTAGATATAAATATACGTGTATGCGCTGATTATTAATGAACTATATATTCACCTTCAAAATGCAGCTGAAGAAAATAAGAATTCATTACTTAAGCATAAAAAATGCTAACTATATATACAATATATGGAACTGCTTTTTATGGGGAATGTGTCTCCAGAAAGCAGTTTATCAGGAATAATTGCATTAATAGTTACCACATTATACCACTGAACTCCATATATAAACTGAAATACTATTTATAAGAGGAAGCATATTTAGCCATAATATGATAGCATACAAATTGACAATACTGTACAGTATATTGTATAACCAAAGTAATAAATAATGCTATACCACTTTTATTACCACTAAGGTTTCCCCTCATTTTATATATTTGCTTTATGTGAATTAATTATTATTAGAAATCCATTTTTTTTATCAGTAACTGTATATCTGTAATGTACATGCATTGTATGTGGTCAGTGCCATTTGCAAAATGTATTAATTTTTTTTTAATTCACACCAAACATCTCCCACCAAGGTAGGGTGAGACAAATAGGAAACATCAGCATCATTCATTCAATAGCTGTCTTGCAATAAGCATTCAGATACCACAATTCTAATGACCCTCTGAACTGCAACATCCCCACCTCTTCTTCAGAGGAGTGTTCATCGCCTGACTGATCTTGGCAAAGCTGCTATTGTCCTAGAATGTTACTGTATAAAGCAAGGGACAGCTGCAGCTATGTGCATTTTTACTTAACACAAATATTTACAACTTCCTTTCATAAAGGTGGGAAGCACAGTGCCTGCATTCTGAAGGAGGGGTGGAGGTGGGAAGTACAGTGCCTGCACTCTGAAGGAGGGGTGAGGATATCTGCAGTTTGGAGGGGCATCTGAACAGTATCATCTGGCAAGACAGTGATAAAGTGAATGATGGTGAAAGTGTTTCTTTTTTGGGTTACCCTACCTCAGTGGGAGACAGCCAGTATGTTAAAATAAAAAAACAAGGAGTAAACACAACTTACCTGGCCACATGCAAGTCCCATACCCCGCTCACCCATACCATGTGGGCATGACAAATTTAATTCAAGAGCATCAGATCCTGCTGCTTCAGCTTTCTTGGCTAGTTCAGTCCAGTCATCAGCATTGTAACTGCACATAATGCTAGCAATAAGCACCTTTAACAAAAGAATTATTGCCATATTTTAGTTAAAAAGCTTCTCTTACTGAAAAGCAATGCAGCAATTTTAAATTAAAGAAAACATTCAATTTTATTACAGTATAAATTAAGAAAAGGCTGCATTTGTTATCTTGGTTATCACAGTTAAGAAAATTTTTGCTGATACTTTTTTAAAGTAGCATTTTTAGTTTTGCAAGTAACCTACCTTATCTGGAAAGTCCTTTTTAAGTTCGCTAATGCTTTGTAACCAATAGGCACAAGTTTTTTCAGAGATGAGCTCAATGTTGAGGAAGGAGCCTTGGCCAGGACCATATATGTGACCCGAGGTTGTGCCTCGTACTATGCGAGGTGATATGTTGGTGACAATGTCCTGTGAGGAGAGGTACAATTAGGTACATACATGTGAGAACTAAATTTGCTCAGGAAGTTATACATTGACAGTGGAATGAACCCCTGACTTAACAGGCTTAAATTGAAATTTACTGGTCATGAACTATGTCACTGAAAGAGAGATAAACAACAAGTGTACTTCACTAATTCTGTACATCAAAGCATAAAAGTCATTTTATAATTGGGCCTAACCTCTCCTTCCTCAGATCAAACCAGTACCTTCCATTTAATTTATGACCCATATGGGTTTAGACAGGTGACCACAAAAGTTAAAAGTTGGGAGTATAGGTACAGTATACATAATAAAATTCAGTGCTCGCACAACATTTAGAGGAAGCTACCATTGCGCATTATTACACAAGCATGCACCTATGCACACACAGGGCCAGGGGCTACGACATGATCCCTGCAACCACACATACACGAGCGCACACACATTTTTTTTTTAATTCAGTGGCTGTCTCCCACCAGGGAAAGGGCAATCCAAAAAAGGAAACATTCACCATCATTCATTCAATTGCTGTCTTCCCAGAAGTGTGCAGATTTCACAAGTCAAATGACTCTTAACTACAACATCTTTACCCCTCCTGCAGAGTTCAGAGCTCAGGCACTGCATTTTCCATGCTTATACTGTACTTCTTTTATCACTCTGGCTGTCTCTTGCCAAGGTGGGTTTGCTTATAAAAAATTAACACATTCACCAATGTTCGTTCATTTATTCATAAATCGTATAGTATAGTATGCACAAGAGTGGCCAAAAAACTTTACAGGTAGTAATGTCTTTCCCCACAAGTCTGTCAAGTTACACATTTAAATGCAAGTACGTAAATATGAAAAAAAAAAAAAAAAAGTTAGAGTGGACAATATTTAGAGGTGCCTACCATGTGATCATAACTGCACATACTCATCAAGGAAAGCAAAAGTACCTTGTCTAGGGCAAATGTTTTGGTGACACAGAAGCCCCACCCAGCCTCATAAGCTCTACGCATCATTGGTGCAGCTGTCGTGGGCGGAGCAGATGCCAAACCAAAGGGATTTGGGAATCTGAGGATCAGTGTATTAATTAATTTTTTAATACTGAGTTGTGAGGTGTGAACTTTATGAATAAACATAACTTAAAACAAGTTACTCATTTTGTATTTGCTGTAATCTTAAATGGATTCATTTGACACCATAAAATTATGAAACAATGAACAGTTACGCAAGTCAATGTACAGTGAACCCTCCATTAATGGCCTTTGATTTAACAGACTTCAGAAAAGCAGACAAAATTCGCTAGGTCAACCGATTCAGAAACAGTGGACGAAGTCTATTCATTAAAAAACTTTTCATTATTACTATAATCACAGCATAATAATCTTACCTCTATTCACCACAACTGCCATTACTGGTTACCCACTTCCCTTTATCACTCAATTAAATTGAGGGTTTAATTGTCATATGATCACAAATGGGGTATCTTTGGTTTTCCTTGAATGTTAATTTTATGATAAAATACATAGTTATTAATCTCTGAGTTGAGGAACTAATACTTTGTTTTTACACAGCATGTGGTTCAATAAACAATGCCCAAACAGTGCAATGCTTCTATATTTAAATTGAACCAAATATCACCTTGCTAACATTACCTGCAAGCTTCTAATGCCTTAGCTTCCCTTATCTTACATGCACTGTATTCTTACAGTGATTTTTCTTGTAGCCACATGAGCACTCCATTTTGTATTTTTTTTTTTAACAAGTTGGCTGTCTCCCACTGAGGCAGGGTGACCCAAAAAGAAAATAGTACTTTCATCGTCATTCAACACCTTCACCTCACTCATACATAATCACTGTTTTTGCAGAGGTGCTCAGAACACAAAAGTATAGAAGAATATACGTATAAAGATACACAACATATCCCTCCAAACTGCCAATATCCCAAACCCCTCCTTTAACCCTTTGACTGTTTCAGGCCCCTTTCTGAAACTGTCATTCTATGTCGCTCAATTTTTGAAAAAAAAAAAATATTTTTTCTTATGAAATGATAGAGAATCTTTTCCCGATGGTAATGACACCAAAAGTTCGAAATTTGGTCGAAAACTCATGGAATTATGCTCCCGTGAAGTTAGCGGTCTCGGCGACATATGCTTATCGGCGATTTCGCCGACTTTGAGCCCTATTTTCAGCCAATTCCATTGTTCCAGTTGACCAAACTCATAGCTATTTCTTTAGAACTCCATTCTATCTATCAGCTGAGTACAAGAAACCTCCCATTTACTAATTTGGACTACCCAATATGGTGGTCAGAAATTGGCAATTTGGCCAATTTCACACAAACTAAAAAAGATGCCAATTTCAAAATAGGGTCCAGAATAAACAAGGTAGACATTCGTGGCACTAAAATAACATAAGCTCTGTTCATTAGTCACATCTCTAGGCCCCTCTTATATTATTATTGCTTTCTATTTTGATTTTTTATTCATACAAAAAAATACAAAATTTACTGTTATGCAGACTACTGCATTATTGTAAAAATGGTATAAATAATATCAGTGCACTAGTGAAAGAATATTAGACTCCCCAGTTGACGTGTATTGGACGTGTGGTGTGATTTATTTACTCCTGAACATTGGTAAAAATCGAACATTTCTGCTACTTTGAGTTCAGTTTCAAGGTCGTTTTCATCGTCAAAGTAATGAAAATCATCTCTATTTCTGTAATATGTTTTCCATTTTATCACCTAAGACCATGAAAACGCGAATACAACGATAAATACTATACGAAAATACACCTCAAAGTCGGCGTTTCATTCCAAAAAAACGATCAGTTTTTTTTTTCTCATTACGCAATATGTGTGCTGCAGGATTTTTTTTATGTGGTGCACACTGACCACACAGACCCATTCTCTCACATGTGGGCCTACCAGCTTTCTCCCGCTTGATTTGAAGCCGCTAGAATTATTGAGTATATATACGTCAGAAACATTGGCTCGTAAGACGTATTTATACGTCGAAAACAGTCAAAGGGTTAAAGTGCAGGCATTGTACTTTCAATTTCCAGTACTCAAGTCCGGCTATATAAAAACAGCCGGTTTCCCTGAATCCCTTCACTAAATATTACCCTGCTCACACTCCAACAGCTCGTCAGGTCCCAAATACCATTCATCTCCATTCACTCCTATCTAATACGCTCATGCATGCTTGCTGGAAGTCCAAGCCCCTCGCCCATAAAACCTCCTTTACCCCCTCCCTCCAACCTTTTCAAGGTTGACCCTACCTCGCCTTCCTTTCCCTACAGATTTATACGCTCTCCATATCATTCTATGTACTTTGATCCATTCTCTCTAAATGACCAAACCACCTCAACAACCCCTCTTCAGCCCTCTGACTAATACTTTTATTAACTCCACACCTTCTCCTAATTTCCATACTCCAAATTTTCTGCATAATATTTACACCACACATTGCCCTTAGACAGGACATCTCCACAGCCTCCAACCACCTCCTCGCTGCAGCATTTACAACCCAAGCTTCACATCCATATAAGAGTGTTGGTACCACAATACTTTCATACATTCCCTTCTTTGCCTCCATAGATAATGTTTTTTGTCTCCACATATACCTCAATGTACCACTCACCTTTTTTCCTTCATCAATTTTATGGTTAACCTCATCCCTCATACATCCATCTGCTGACATGTCAACTCCCAAATAATATCTGAAAACATTCACTTCTTTCATACTCCTCCTCTCCAATTTGTACTTATAAACATAATAATGTATCATCCTTTGACTTCTTGTTCCTCATTTGATCATTTAATTTTATACTATATGACATGAACTTATTTTTATTTTTTAAATTTCACTTAAAATGCTTATACATTTTTAACTATGCTGCAAAGATGTCTATCATAAAGCATGGGAAAATATTTCAGTATATAACATGTAGTAAACCCTCCATATAATGGACTAATTGGAGGGAAGTGGGTGTTTGATAATGGTGGAGAGAAAAAAAAAATTGCTTCAGTATTTCCAAAGTTCGCAATACAGGGGTTTGTTATATGGAGAGTTTACTGTACTAACTTGGTATGCAGAAGCTACAACCGTTTTGCAAAGTCAATTTTTTTTTTTAACAAACCGGCCACATCCCACTGAGGAAGGGCGACTTAAAAAGATAAACGAAAATTTCTCCTTTTACATTAAGTAATTTATACAGGAGAAGGGGTTACTAGCCCCTTGCTCCCAGCATTTTAGTCGCCTTTTATGACACGTATACCTGGAGTTTACCTGGAGAGAGTTCCGGAAGTCAATGCCCCCGCGGCCCGGTCTGTGACCAGGCCTCCTGGTGGATCAGAGCCTGATCAACCAGGCTGTTACTGCTGGCTGCACGCAAACCAACGTACGAGCCACAGCCCGGCTTGTCAGGAACCGACTTTAGGTGCTTGTCCAGTGCCAGCTTGAAGACTGCCAGGGGTCTGTTGGTAATCCCCCTTATGTATGCTGGGAGGCAGTTGAACAGTCTCGGGCCCCTGACACTTATTGTATAGTCTCTTAACGTGCTAGTGACACCCCTGCTTTTCATTGGGGGGATGTTGCATCATCTGCCAAGTCTTTTACTTTCGTAGTGAGTGATTTTCGTGAGCAAGTTCGGTACTAGTCCCTCTAGGATTTTCCAGGTGTATATAATCATGTATCTCTCCCGCCTGCATTCCAGGGAATACAGGTTTAGGAACCTCAAGCGCTCCCAGTAATTGAGGTGTTTTATCTCCGTTATGCGCGCTGTGAAGGTTCTCTGTACATTTTCTAGGTCAGCAATTTCACCTGCCTTGAAGGTGCTGTTAGTGTGCAGCAATATTCCAGCCTAGATAGAACAAGTGACCTGAAGAGTGTCATCATGGGCTTGGCCTCCCTAGTTTTGAAGGTTCTCATTATCCATCCTGTCATTTTTCTAGCAGATGCGATTGATACAATGTTATGGTCCTTGAAGGTGAGATCCTCCAACATGATCACTCCCACTCCCATGGAAGAAGAATTCTGTTCTACTTCCCATGGAGATGAGTGGAAATACACAAGAACAAGAACTAAGAAGAAAATAGAAGAAAACCCAGAGGGGTTTGTGTGTGTGTGTGTGTGTATATAGTATACATGTATATATATTTTTTTTCAACAAACCGGCCATATCCCACCAAGGCAGGATGGCCCAAAAAGAAAAGTGATAGTTTTTCTTTTTAAATTTAGTAATTTGTACAGGAGAAGGAGTTACTAGCCCCTTGGTCCTGGCATTTTAGTCGCCTCTTACAACACGCATGGCTTACGGAGGAAGAATTCTGTTCCACTTCCCCATGGAGATAAGAGGAAATAAACAAGAACAAGAACTAGAAAGAAAATAGAAGAAACCCAGAGGGGTGTGTATATATATGCTTGTACAGGCATATGTAGTGTGACCTAAATGTAACTAGAAGTAGCAAGATATACCTGAAACCTTGCATGTTTATTGAGACAAAAAAGACACCAGCAATCCTACCATCACGTAAAACAAGTACACGTACAAGTTTCCGTTTCACACTCACTTGGCAAGACGGTTGTATTTCCTAGGTGGTTGCTGTCTACCAACCGACTACCACAGGATGGTAGTACCTTCCTGGGTGGTTGTTGTCTACCAACCTATTACCTAGGCAAAGTCAAATATTAATAAATATTGAAAAAATGTACTTACTTTATACCACATATCGTAATCGAGATGTCCACATCATCGATAGGAGTGTAGAACTTTGGCAGTTGTGGCATCTCAGGAACAAATAGGCCATGGAGAGACTGTTGAATACAGCTGCATTAATGTACTACAGTATAGTAATGCACTATATACTATACACATATGGAACCACAGTGGGTAGAAATCAAATTGTGATCAGGGATTTGTCAGGTTTTATGATGCCAAGAGCAATGATAGTTTTTTCCAAACCAGCCAGGGGGGTTAATGAGTAAGTTACACTCTTCTTCTTTCTATCAACAAACCGGCCATATCCCACCATGGCAAGGTGCCCCCCCCCCCCCCAAAAAAAAAAAAAAAAAAAAAAGTTTCTTTTTTCAACTTTAGTAATGTATACAGAAGAAGGGGTTACTAGCTCCTTGCTCCTGGTATTTTAGTCACCTCTTATGACACGCATGGCTTACGGAGGAAGAATTCTGTTCCACCTCCCCATAGAGATAAGAGGAAATAAACAAGAACAAGAACTAGGAAGAAAATAGAAGAAAACCCAGAGGGGTGTGTATAAATATGCTTGTACATACAAGTGTAGTGTGACCTAAGTGCAAGTAGAAGTAGCAAGATATACCTGAAATCTTGCATGGTTATGAGACAGAAAAAAGACACCAGCAACCTACCATCATGTAAAACAATTACAGCCTTCCATTTTACACTCACTTGGCAGGACAGTAGTACCTCACTGGGTGGCTGCTGTCTACCAACCTACTACCTAAAGTAAGTTACACATCTTGTTTTATTATTTTTCACTGTAACTATCAACTTTTTGTATCTTCACCATCTCTACCAGTCATTTAAAATAAAAGCCATATTTTGAAATCGTTTATTCTACATACAAATGTATTAACTGCATAAAAACCCTTTTAAATAGTCGCTATAAAATTTCTTAAGTAGTCTTTAAGAATTAGGATTAGTCTGCCTGGAATGCACTGTATAGTAGAAGTAGTGGCAATCTTTTGTACTGGATAATGAAATAAAAATTTGTATTTGTATTTTGTAGGGCATATGTGCCATAATTCAATATTCCTATTTCATCATACCTTAACTACCAATAAGTGAGCCACATATACCATGGAAGTACCAAGTGAAATTTGAATAGAATGTAGAAGTCACTGACGCTTTCTTAATCAAAAAATCTTGGATATGGCAGTTGTTAATATATCTTAATTATTAAAATTTGCAAGGATTTGGAACACATACTATTGCAATACTATTTAAATGCATCAATTATTACAATTGACAATATTTTTGTTCTCAGGCTCAATAACTGTATAATTTGATTTTCTATGGCTTTAAGGGCTTTATCTGGAATAATAAAAGCAACAAAAAATGTTGGACCTCAATATTTATGAATATTCCAAGCAGCTTTTTTCCCACATTGACACTTTCCACAGTGGTTTTCTGCAACACCACAACATCACCTCCCAAAACACCACTTCATGGGGCTCATAGTGTGTACATCCACCTCTGGGTGACCCCCGGTTTAGCCTAACTGGGGCTAGAGCGACTGAACTGTGGGGGAAATAATAAACAAATTGACAAAATTTGGGACAGTTACTTAAAAACAACTAAAAATTTTACAAGAAACATATAACAGAAACATTAATGATTAACAAATAAAAAAAACTCTTATAAAGTTGACCCTTTCTTAAAGACCCCCTGAAATAGCTGCAAAACAACAAGTCAAAGTCAAAAAATCAACATGTTAACCCAGGAAATGGAAGAGCTTAAGAAATCCAATTATATGTTAATCCAGGAAATTAAAGACTTAAAATCCAACAAAAATTACAACTCTAGAAAATAAACAAAATGCACTTGACCAACTCAGCAACACCCCCACAAGTCGAGGAAACCATCACCTCCCCAAAGATCAAGTTGCACAACTGAACATCAACACCAAGAGTGAAAGAGAAAGAATCGACTTACAACTTACTGATGTCATATACAATTTCCAAAACCACTTAGACCAACAACAACTGTGACTCAGTCGTAGTGAATAGCAAACATCTTCCATTAACTATAGCTCTCACCCAAGGCCAGTCATACTAGCCAATACTGTAAATACCGAATTACAGAAAATATCTACCTGGATGATGGATGATCAACAAGCTTACTCTCAATATTGACAAAACCTACTTCATTCAGTTTAGGAACAGAACTACAGATGTTCCTCTTAACATACTGATAAACGGATCACCTATCACAAAGCTCACAGAGGGAAAATTCTTAGGAATCCAAATTGATAATAGACTCAAATTTCAAACACATGTACAACAAATTTCCAAGAAAATCTCCAAGACCATAGGCATACTATCAAAGATACAGTACTATGTTCCACAATCAGCTCTCCTGGCCTTATATCACTCACTCATTTACCCCTATCTCACCTATGGAATCTGTGCATGGGGCTCAACAACAATAAATCATCTCAGACCATTAATTACCCAACAAAAGGCTGCAGTCAGAATGATAAATTCCCACTCCAGGCAGTATACTCCACCAATATTCAAAACTCTAAACTTACTCACCGTGCAAAACATCCATACTTATTATTGTGCCTACTACATACATAGAACACTAAACTCGGATATAAACCCTCCCCTAAAACTTCTTACCAACCTCAACAGAACACATGACCATAACACAAGGCACAGATCCCTCTTTGATGTTCCCAGTGTCCATCTCACACTATGTAAAAACTCTATGCACATAAAAGGCCCAAAAATCTGGAATTCATTACCTGTGAATATAAAAGAAACGCTGTCTGTTTATCAATTCAAGACTCTCCTTAAAAACCACTTACTCGCCCACAACTAAATAAATACTGAATAACTGTATCTCGTAAACGTATAACCTGTGACCCTATCAAACTATGCTTTTTAATTACATTACCTAATAGAATAATCCATTCTCTTCAATACACAGTAACTCATCTAATGACCATATGATTTTATTCGATTTGATCGGATTAATAAATTGTATGACCTCATATAGTATACTGATCGTTTTGTTATATTATACATTGTTATGCTACAAATTTGTACAACTACAATGCTTCTTTTTGAAATACTCATTTGTACTTCATGTTGTAATTTGTTTACTATAATTTTTACCACTGAATATATCATTGCTTAGTTAATCCTAAAGTTAATTTTAAACCTGCCCATAGTGCTCTGCATACAAGGGGCTTTTGGCATGTACACCTACCATCCGACTTACGACCTGTTCGACTTACGACCACTCGACTTACAACCGTGTTTTTTTTGCCAAATTTCTGGGAAATAAACAACTATTTGTGTTGTACACAGTGTTTATCCTAAACCTTACAGTATAAAATACAGTACTAACAGCATAAAAAGTAAAGTAAAACATGAAATACCAAAATAAAACAATAAAATAAAGTCATTACAAAAATGTATTTGATTCATAGTAAAGTTCGACAAACGACCTTCTCGGAACTGAACTCATCATAAGTCGGGGGGTGGGTGTACATCCAACCACTATAAAAATTTTTAAACAGTATCATGTCCAAATAAAAAAAAAAATAAAAATTATTATTTTTATTATTTTATGGAAGGGAAAAGGTTTTTAATGAAAAATATTTTGAGTTTGAATGTGGACGGGGATGATAACACGCTTTTAAACCAACTCTTTTACCCCCATTTTTGATGAATGTTTACAAAAAGTATACAAGCTTACTGCCACACAATCCATATGACAGACAATACAGGGGGTACCCTCGATTACAAACTTAATTCATTCCAGAACTTTCGAGGCCGTTACTGAATGTTTTTGTTCCCATAAGAAAAAAGTAAATTAAGTTTAGTTATTTCAACCCCCCAAAAATCCCTTTACAAAATTGTTCGATTTGGGGAAACTGTTTGAAACTCGGCTATCACTGTAATTAAAAAAACGAAAAATTTCATTTTCAATCTTCTTCATTAGTCGGGCCCCTTTTTCTTTTGCATTGGAAATGATACCAAACTAGAAAGCACAATTTTGTGCATGATACCAAAATAAAAAAGAAAACTTTCTTTTTTGAAAACCAACAATTTGCATTTTTCAAAAACATTTATCACATCTGTCAGACACGCAACATCGGGGATCTTGATAAAAGGAAATTTCTTCAATATTTTGTCCAACTTTTGAACAAAGCCTACTTACACTAGGGGTGGTTTCCACTGTGACCTCCTCCCCTTTTTTCGACTCACCTACTACATTATATAAGCCACTTCCGGGGCCATAATCTTACTTTGTAAAAGTGTGGACTGAAACTAAATTTCCGGGCTGAAGATGATACCCCCAAACTCCCTTCCCCTTTCTTTTGTACTACTGATGAAGCCACTGTGGGGCAGAATTTTTTTTTCCCTTTAAAAAAATTCCCATATTTTGTACAAGTCTTCTTCTTTTTTTCAATCCCAGCCATGTCCCACCGAGGCGGGGTGGCCCAAAAGAAAAAATGAAAGTTTCTCCTTTTACATCTATAAAATATACGGGAAAGGGGGGTTTACACCCCTTGCCCCCGGCATTTAGTCGCCTCTTACACACCACAGGTTACGGAGGAAGAATTTTTTTCCCCACCCCCCCCATGGAGATAAGGGAAATAAGCAAGAACAAGAACTAGTAAGAAAATAGAAGAAAACCCAGAGGGGTGTGTATATATATGCTTGTACATGTATGTTCACGGAGTATACCAGGAAAAGTGTACGGTGGGGTTATAACGAAAAAATTAGGGGGTAAGACAATTGTAGGATTGCAGATGACAAGGAGTTTCAGAGGGGGTAGGGGATGCATAGTCGGTTTACATTAAGCATATATGGAAAGTTTTAGAAAAGTAGGAAGTTTTTATTGCTTTTTATGGATTTTAGAAAAGCATATAAAAGGGGGGATAGAGGGGCAAAGTGGCCGAGTTTCAAGTATATGGAAAAGGTGGGAAATTTCTAAATGCGAAAGAGTTTTTTTTGAGGTAGTGAACTCAGGTTTTGGGGGTTTTAAAAGAGAGGGGGCTACTTCCTGGTAAAAGAGGCTTAGAAAAGGGGGTTAAAATTTCCCATGGTTTTTTTTTAAAAAATTTTTTTGAGGGGTTTTAAAAAAAAAAAATCTAGGGGGCAATGGGGTTAAAATGGGGAATCAAATTTAAAAAGGGAAAGACACAGTTCTTTTGCGAGATACTGGCATAGGAATTCTAAAAAAAATTGCAAAGGTTAAATGAGAGGTTTGGGGAATGTTTTGGGAAAGTAAAAAATTAAAGTGCATAGAAAAAGATAAGGGGGAAAGGGGTTAAATGATTTAGAAAAGAAAATTGATATCAAATTGGGGAGGATATGGAAGAAGTAATTTTTTTCAATACATGACTTGGAGTTTTACGTGTCGGCGGAGGGGTTTATGAAAGGTGAGGTTAACATAAATAAAGGGAAAAAAAAAGGGGAGTGGTGCTTGAGGTATATGTGGGGTCAAAAAAACGTTTTCTATGGAGGCAAAGAAGGGAAAATATAAAGAAAAGTATACCAAACTCTTTTATGGATTGAAGCTTTTTGGGGGAAATGCAGCACGAGGAGATGGTTTTGGGGGCAGTGGAGATGTCCCGCTAAGGGGAATGTTGGTGTAAATATTATCAGAAATTCGGGGGGTGGAAATTTGGAAAAGGGGGTGGAGTTAAAAAAGAATTGTCAAAGGGCAGAAAGGGTTGAGGTGGTTTTGGGGCATTTAGAAAATGGGCAAAGTAGAATGACATGGGAAACGATAAATCTTAGGGGGAAGGGAAAGGGGGGGTAGGGGTTCCCCGAAAGGGTTGGGGAGAGGGGTAAAGGAGGTTTTTTTTGGGGAGGGGCTTTGGGCTTCCACAAGCGTGCGGATGTGTTAAAAGGGTGAAAGGAGACAAAGGACTTGGGGCCTGACGGCTGTTGGAGTTGGGGCAGGGAATTTTAGTGAAGGGATTTAGGGAAACCGGTTATTTTCATAAGTCGGACTTGAGTCCGGAAATGGAAGTACAAAGCCTGCACTTTAAAGGAGGGGTTTGGGACTTTGGGGTTTGGAGGGATTGTTGGGATCTTTATACTTACTTTTAAAATTTTTGATCTGAGCACCTCTGCAAAAAAATTGATAATGTGTGAGTGTGGTGAAAGTGTTGAATGATGATGAAAGTATTTTCTTTTTGGGGATTTTCTTTCTTTTTTGGGTCACCCTGCCTCAGTGGGAGACAGCTGACTTGTTAAAAAGAAAGAAAAAAAAAAAAAAAAAAAAAAAACATGTATGTGTAGTGTGACCTAAGTGTAAGTAGAAGTAGCAAGATGTACCTGAAACCTTGCATGTTCAAGAGACAGAAAAATGGACACCAGCAATCCTACCATCATGTAAAACAATTACAGGCTTTCGTTTTACACTCACTTGGCAAGATGGTAGTACCTCCCTGGGCAGTTGCTGTCTACCAGCCTACTACCTAGGATGTTGCCTAAGTGTCTTTGTTAATTTCGTCGATACTTTTAAAATTGCACAAAATTTGAAGCTGAAAGTACCAAATATTTACAGAGTAATATTTGTGCAGTACCCTGGATGAAAATAATCTCAAACTGTAATCCTTCTGTGAAAAGTACATTTTTATTACACATTATTTTGCAGAGATGATTATTATTGGTTACTTTCTCTTTAATGTACAACAGTATCATAAAAAAAATTGTCTCATACTATATGAAGACCTAAAATTGAAGAATAGTTGTGCCTTCCTTTCTGACTGTTCCACCTATAATGCTAATTCAGTATATTTCTTAAATGATGTTTGTTGTTCATTGTTTTAAATAGTACTAGATTGTAATACAGTACATCATAATGTAAACTGTTCCATTGTAATACCAAATTTCATTGTTTAAATAGTTCTAAATTGTAATACATCATATTGTAAATTGTTTTAAATTGTTACATTGTCATACTGTAATCTTTATTAACTAATTCAATAGTGTAATAAGTCTCTACTAGACTTATCAAAACCATATAGCATTACCTGATAGAATATTCAGTTCTCCTGTACTCACTGTAACACATTTAATGACCATATGAACTATGTATTATTGCCTTCCTAATCTTAAGTTAATCTAAGCTTGCCCAAAATGCTCTGCATACAAAAGGGCTTTTGGTATGTACACCAACTATTATATTCCTCTGTACAACCATGTAATTTGTCAGAATAAACATCTTAATCTTAATGACACCAATTTTCTACATTAACTGTGGCTTTTCTTCTTTTTTTTCTCTCTATTGTGCAGAACTAATTGACCCTTATGGTTTCAGTGCATTTCATTACTGTATTATGATATAATAAGGAGGAGTTGTAAATAATCAGAAATACAAAAGGAATACTGTAATAGACCAAGGCAGGGCGACCCAAAAAAGAAAATACACTTAATAATTAAAAGTTTTTCTTCCTTTTACACATAGTAATTTATACAGAAGGGGGTCCTAGCCTCTTGCTCCCAGCATTTTAGTCACCTCTTACGACATGCATGGCTTATGGAGGAAGCAGTCTTCTCCACTTCCCCATGGAGAATAATAACTTACTGTCTGTATTTGAAAGACCAGAACCAAATGCTGAGATTATGTAGTCACACTTTAATTTGAATGTCTGGTCTTCATCTTCAATCCAGGATCCATCTTGTGCTTGCTCTGTGCGCACGAACTCCATGGCTGAAACTCTGCCATTCTTCATAATCACTTTGCGAGGTGACAAGAAAGGCAAGAACTCGCACATTTCTTCACGTGCTAAGTCCATCTAGGGTGAAAAATAATAATTGCTAACATTAATAAATATGTAAATTACAGAGCAGGAATACAAGGTGAAGAAGATGAGTTTTTTCTAAGCAATCACCCTAGAGGGTTAATAATGCAGGACAACCCAAGAAAATTATTCTGTGAAGCTTATCTCTGCTGGGATCCTCAATTGGGCCTCAGGGATAGATGATTAAGGAAAATACTGAAGGGTTAATATGTCTGAGTTGCTGAACAATCAGTCACACTTTTCTAAAAGAGGTACCAGTATATAATACATGTATATGAGTGAGCATATGAGCAGCAGAATGCATGATCATCTCTTGGGTAACTCCTACGAGTCCATGAAACACTATAGTGACAAATTAAAAGACATGTTCTTGGACAATACCGCTACAATTAATAACGCCATAATTCATCCCTTGAAAAGCCATCAACTGCAGACTGCACTTATGAATTTATGCAAATAAAATGCTATGAAAAGTGCCTATAGGGATACGTACATTAATATAACCTAATAAACAGTACTGATAGGCATAATTTTTCTTTTATTTGGCAAAACTGGATACATAACTAGAGTGCTTTTGCAATGTGAGGCTTATATGGATGAATGTAGAAATATTAAATTGCAGCCCATACCAGAAATTTCTATCACTCATTCTACTGTATTAGTAGAGCTATATTAATTATTATTTTAGATAAAAAAGAAAGTTGACAACATAAATTTATATAAAATATTTTCTTAGTTCTTTATTGCTCATGGTATAGGTGAGATTTGTCACCATCACTGGATAAAGATATACAGTATATTTATTCAGCAAAGAAAGCAAATATTTTACTATATACAGTACCTCTTCAGGAACAGCCCGAATATTTGTGAAGCCTTTTCTGAAGACAACGAAGACACGTTTTGCCCCACAGCGAAGAGCAGATGTGGCACAATCAAAGGCAGTGTCTCCAGCACCCAGGACAAGCACCACACCCTTAATGGATGGCAGCTGAGACTTACAACTGCACATCCCTGTCAAGGTAATATATTAAGTTAATTTACATTACCTTTAAAATGAGGTAAAATATGTACATGATAAAAGATAAAGATTTTATTTCATTGCAAGGTTACAATGTGTATTTACAATTTTGATTTGTTAAGCACAAAGAAAGCCAATATCAAGCCGGGGCATTTCAGTCACTTATCCTAGTATATAATAACTACTTAAGTCTAGACAGGATAAGAGTGGTTTAATTTTTAACCCTTTCAGGGTCCAAGGCCCAAATCTGGAGTCACGCACCAGTGTCCAAGAATTTTCAAAAAAAAAATTTGTTATTTTTTCTTATGAAATTGTAGAGAATCTTTTTGTGAAGGTAATAAAACAAAAAGTACGAAATTTGGTGGAAAATTGATGAAATTATGCTCTCGCGAATTTTGATGTGTCAGCGATATTTACGAATCGGCGATTTTCCCGACTTTGACTCCCATTTTAGGCCAATTACATTATTCCAATCAACCAAATTCTTAGCTATTTCACTAGTATTACTTCTATTCTATCGATTGAGCACAAGAAATCGCCAAGTCAACTGTTTCAACTACAAAATAAAGTGATCGGAAATTGTTAATTTGGCCAATTTAACACAAAGTTCAAAATATTCCAATTTCAAAATAGGGTCCAGAATGAACAATGTAGGCATTCCTGGCACTAAACTAACATTTCCTCTGTTCATTAGTTATGTTTTGAGGCTTTACAAATAAATTAGATTTTGATTTTTTATTCACATAATGAATTTTTATTACTGTTATGCAATACTGTAATAATTGTATAAATATCATCACCATATTTGTGAATGTATATTAGACCCACCAGCTGACGTGTATTAGACTGTGAGGTCGTTTGTTTACTCTTGAATATCGGCAAAAATTTAACATTTCCGCTACTTTGAGCTCAGTTTCAAGCCATTTCCAATGCTAAAACCAATCAAAATCATCTCTATTTCTGTAATATGTCTTCCATTCTATCAAATGAGACCAAGAAATCGCAAATACAACTATAAAAAACATACGAAAAAACACTGCAAAGTTGCTGTTTTAATCGAAAAATCATGATTTCATTTTTTTTCTCTCATTATACACAGTGTGCTGCAGGATCTGTTTTATGTGGTGCACACATACCACATAGATGTATTCTCTCATATCTAGGCCCAAATGTACCACTCACAGTTTATCAGAGTGAGCTGAGCTCATGGCGTAGATCTACGGTTTGGACCCTGAACGTAAAGCCGTAGATCTACGGGACGGACCCTGAAAGGGTTAATAAATCTTTATCTTAATACTATGCCTAATATGATGCCTAAGAAATACATAATACAATTAACCTGTAAAATATTGCGATACTATGGAGGGTACCATGAATTTGGCATATGTAACAATTTTCTTTGACTTCAGTTTAGTTTAAAGCTCAGCCTGATTTAAGATACACTACAAACCCCCAGGATGTGGCCCCCACTAGTCAACATTCAGATATCTACCTACTGTAGATGAACAGGGTCGACATGTGTAGGAAATATGCCCATACGACTCTCTCAAACCAAGATTTCTTCAGTTGTGAGTTGAGCACTTTACCATTAAGGTACTTTACCATTTCAGGTACCACTGTTCTGTGGTAGCCCTCAAACAAGACACTTGATGTTTTCATGAACACTATTGCAATTTTCAACTAGTAAAATATGTATAGAGCAATACCACACAATAATTTATAGTAGAGTACGTACGTATATACAATAAACAGCTCACCTGGTTTACTAGCTGCTGTTACCATAGGCAAGAAATCTTTACTGGTGTAGAAACCCATCTCATTGTTCAGATCAGCAAATATACTAATCTTTTTAGGCTCAGGAAGACCAATCCCAATGAATATTGCCTCATAACCATCTTGCTGCAAGCCCTGAAATTTTATGTGAAAAATAACATCTCTCCATAATTAAGTAAAAATAAGATACTGAGCATAGAGGTTTCATTATAATTAATGACTATAATGTGCAGTAAAATTCTACAGGTTACATCCTTCAGTTAGGGTCTTGGGGGAAATAAAAAAGTAAAAGTTCTATTGCAGATGGGAGCACAAAGCTCAAACTAACTTATACTAATTTTGACTTTAATCTTTTGCACCTCTGCCCATCCCTCATATCAGCACCCCTCCACCATGTAGCACTGTATGACCCATGCAGGTTTAGTGCTTTTTTTTACTGATTATAAAAACACAATAATAGAACACTTCTAGGTAGTAGGTTGGTAGACAGCAACCGCCCAGTCAAGTATTACCGTCCGGCCAAGTGAGAGTAAAACGAAGACTGTAATTGTTTTACACGGTGGTAGGATTGCTGGTGTATTTTCCTGTCTCATGAACATACAAGATTTCAGGTACGTCTTGCTACTTCTCCTTACATTTAGGTCACACTGCACATGCATGTACAAGCATATATATATACATACACACCCCTCTGGGTTTTCTTCTAGTTTCTTACTAGTTCTTGTTCTTGTTTATTTTTTCTTATCTCCATGGGGAAATGGAACAGGATTCTTCCTCCATGAGCCATGCACGTTGTAAGAAGCAACTAAAATGCCGGGAGAAAGGGGGCTCATAACCCCTTCTCCTGTATACATTACTAAAGTTAAAAAGAGAAACTTTTTTCTCTTTTTGGGCCACCCTGCCTCGGTGGGATATGGCCAGTTCGTTGAGAGAAGAATAGGAACACTTGTATAGACATACAGGTACTGAAAAATGTCAATTCAACTAAATATTTTCTACATGTATTTAGTTGAATTGAATCTAGCATGGCTTTATGATTACCTTTAGACTAAGTATAATAAAATGCATCATATTTACAGTACCTTAATTGTTATATCCGAGAGAGAGAGCTGACGGCCGTGATGTACTTTAACACCAAGATCCTTCATGAGATCCACTTCGAAATTAACAACTTCAAAGGGGAGTCGGTACTGTGGAATTTCTGAAGAACTCAAGCCTCCAACATAATCTTTCTTCTCAAAGACATCAATGTTGTGATAGCCAAGTCGTCCCAAAAATGTTGCACAAGATATCGAGGCAGGTCCACACCCTACAATGAAAATTTTAGTGTGCATTTTTTTATAATAAATAGCAGATCAATACAGTTAAGTTATTCATTATTTTTTATATTAATATTATTGTATATACTGTACAGTGTTGATTCTAAAGTATAAAATTGAACACTTCCCTTCAGGTAGTAACTCATTACAGTTGTGACTGGGTGTGGACGTGTGAATTGCTTATTACTTTGTATTTTGTTCATGATTGTAACCATGTATGACTTTTTTTTTTTTTTTTAACAAGTCGGCCATCTCCCACCGAGGCAGGGTGACCCAAAAAGAAAGAAAATCCCCAAAAAGAAAATACTTTCATCATCATTATTTAACACATTCACCTCACTCACACATAATCACTGTTTTTGCAGAGGTGCTCAGAACACAACAGTTTAGAAGCATATACATATAAAGATACACAACATATCCCTCCAAACTGCCAATATCCCAAACCCCTCCTTTAGAGTGTAGGCATTGTACTTCCCATTTCCAGGACTCAAGTCCGGTTATATAAAAATAACTGGTTTCCCTGAATCCCTTCACTAAATATTACCCTGCTCACACTCCAACAGATCGTCAGGTCCCAAATACCATTCGTCTCCATTCACTCGTATTGAACACGCTCACGCACGCCTGCTGGAAGTCCAAGCCCCTCACCCACAAAACCTCCCTTACCCCTTCCTTCCAACCTTTTCGAGGACGACCCCTACCCCGCCTTCCTTCCCCTACAGATTTATACGCTCTCCATGTCATTCTACTTTGATCCATTCTCTCTAAATGACCATACCACCTCAACAACCCCTCTTCAGCCCTCTGACTAATACTTTTATGAACTCCACACCTTCTCCTAATTTCCACACTCCGAATTTTCTGCATAATATTTACACCACACATTGCCCTAAGACAGGACATATCTACTGCCTCCAATCGCCTCCTGCTGCTGTATTCACAAGCCAAGCTTCACACCCATATAAGAGTGTTGGTACTACTATACCTTCATACATTCCCTTCTTTGCCTTCATAGGGGTGGCCCGGTGGCTAAAGCTCCCGCTTCACACACGGAGGGCCCAGGTTCGATTCCCGGTGAGTGGAAACATTCCGACACGTTTCCTTACACCTGTTGTCCTGTTCACCTAGCAGCAAATAGGTACCTGGGTGTTAGTCAACTGGTGTGGGTCGCATCCTGGGGCACAAGATTAGAGGACCCCAATGGAAATAAGTTAGACAGTCCTCGATGACGCACTGACTTTCTTGGGTTATCCTGGGTGGCTAACCCTCTGGGGTTAAAAATCCGAACGAAATCTTATCTTATCTTATCTTAGATAATGTTTTTTGTCTCCACATATACCTCAACGTACCACTTGCCTTTTTATCCCTCATCAATTCCATGATTAACCTCATCCTTCATAAATCCATCCGCCGACACGTCAACTACTAAGTATCTGAAAACATTTACTTCTTCCATACTCCTCTCCAATTTGATATCCAATTTTTCTTTGCCTAAATCATTTGATACCCTCATCACCTTACTCTTTTCTATGTTCACTTTCAACTTTCTACCTTTACACATACTCCCAAACTCTTCCACTAACCTTTGCAATTTTTTTTAGAATCTCCCATAAGCACAGTATCATCAGCAAAAAGTAACTGTGTCAATTCCCATTTTGTATTTGATTACCCATAATTTAATCCACCCTCTCCGGACACCCTAGCATTTATTCTTTTACAACCCCACATAATATATTAAACACATGGTGACATTACACATCCTTGTCTAAGACCTACTTTTACCGGGAAGTAGTCTCCCTCTCTTCTACATATCCTAACCTGAGCCTCACTATCCTCATAGAAACTCTTTACAGCATTTATTAACTTACCACCTATTCCATATACTTGCAACTTCGGCCACATTGCTCCTCTATCCACTCTATCATATGCCTTTTCTAAATCCATAAATGCAATAAAAACTTCCCTACCTTTATCTAAATACTGTTCACATATATGCTTCAATGTAAACACTTGACCTATACATCCCCTACGCACTCTAAAACCTCCTTGCTCATCCGCAATCCTACATTCTGTCTTAATTCACTTATAATTAATAATCTACTGTTCAACTATGAAATAATTACTGTCCTACTGTACAACTATGATACTGTACAACTATGATAAAATCTTAGTGTTCAGTAGTCTGTAAGCCAATAATGTAAAGTTGGCCCATAATGCCTAGGCATAATAGAGGCTCTCCTTGCATTGCAACCCACTATTGTAAATATAAAATCTCAAAGTACTGTTTGCAAAGACATAAAATAAAAAAATAAATAAAATAAAACTAATTCTTTCAATTAAAGCCCTACTGTTTATTTATTTATTTATTTTATGTTTTTGCAAACAGTACATTGAGATTTTGTATTTACAACAGTGGGTTGCAATGCAAAGAGAGCCTCTATTATGCCTAGGCATTATGGGCCAACTTAACATTAACATTATTGGCTTACAGACTACTTAACACTAAGGATTATATCATAGTTGTACAGTAGTATAGTAATTATTTCATAGTTGTACAGTAGATTATTAATTATAAGTGAATCAAACTTGTACAAGACAAAAGGTATATTCATATTTTCTAAAATGCTTTCTGTGAAAACAATGATTCAATTATATTCCTGTCAACAATGGATAAAAGGTTCAAAGTGATTGTTGAAGTTATGATGTGGGAGTACATAAGTGAGTACTATGTGTATACTCAGTAAACTTATTCCTCTATAATTTTTACAGTCTCTTTTGTCCCCCTTCCCTTTATATAAAGGGACTATACATGCTCTCTGCCAATCCCTAGGTACCTTCCCCTCTTTCATACATTTATTAAACAAAAATACCAACCACTCCAACACTATATCCCCCCCTGCTTTTAACATTTCTGTCATGATCCCATCAGTTCCAATTGCTTTACCCCCTTTCATTCTATGTAATGCCTCACGCACCTCCCCCACACTCACATCCTGTTCTTCTTCACTACTAAAAGATGGTATACCTCCCTGGCCAGTGCATGAAATTACCGCCTCCCTTTCTTCGTCGACATTTAAAAGTTCCTCAAAATATTCTCACAATCTACCCAAAACCTCCATCTCCCCATCTACTAACTCCCTTACTCTGTTTTTAACTGACAAATCCATTCGTTCCCTAGGCTTTCTTAACTTGTTTAACTCACTCCAGAATTTTTTCTTATTTTCATTAAAATTTCTTGACAGTGCCTCTCCCACTATCATCTACTCTCGTTTTACACTCTCTCACCACTCTCTTCACCTTTCTTTTACTCTCCATATACTCTACTCTTCTTATAACACTTCTGCTTTGTAAAAACCTCTCATAAGCTAACTTTTTCTCTTTTATCACACCCGTTACTTCATCTTTCCACCAATCACTCCTCTTTCCTCCTGCACCCACCCTATTATAACCACAAACTTCTGCCCCACATTCTAATACTGTATTTTTGTAACTATTCCAACCCTCTTCAACCCCCCCACTACTCATACTTGCACCAGCCCACCTTTCTGCCAATAGTTGCTTATATCTCACCCGAACTTCCTCCTCCCTTAGTTTATACACTTTCACCTCCCTCTTGTTGTTGCCATTTTCCTCTTTTCCCATCTACCTCTTACTCTAACTGTAGCTACAACTAAATAATGATCCGATATATCAGTTGCCCCTCTATAAACGTGTACATCCTGGAGCCTACCCATCAACCTTTTATCCACCAATACACAATCTAACAAACTACTTTCATTACGTGCTATATCATACCTTGTATATTTATTTATCCTCTTCTTCATAAAATATGTATTACTTATTACGAAACCTCTTTCTACACATAGCTCAATTAAATGCTCCCCATTTTCATTTACCCCTGGCACCCCAAATTTACCTACTACTCCCTCCACAACATTTTTGCACACTTTAGCATTGAAATCCCCAACCACCATTACTCTCACACTTGGTTCAAAACTCCCCACGCATTCACTCATTTCCCAAAATCTCTCTCTCTCCTCTACACTTCTCTCTTCTCCAGGTGCATATACGCTTACTATAACCCACTTTTCACATCCAACCTTTATTTTACTCCACATAATCCTTGAATTAATACATTTATAGTCCCTCTTTTCCTGCCATATCTTATCCTTCAACATTATTGCTACTCCTTCTTTAGCTCTAACTCTATTTGAAACCCCTGACCTAATCCCATTTATTCCTCTCCACTGAAACTCTCCCACCCCCTTCAGCTTTGTTTCACTTAAAGCCAGGACATCCAGCTTCTTCTTATTCATAACGTCCACAATCATCTCTTTCTTATCATTTGCACAACATCCATGCACATTCAGACTTCCCACTTTGACAATTTTCTTCTCATTCTTTTTAGTAATTATTACAGGAAAAGGGGGTTACTAGCCCATTGTTCCCGGCATTTTAGTTGACTTTTACAACACGCATGGCTTACGGAGGAAAGATTCTTATTCCACTTCCCCATGGATATAAAAAGAAAAGTAATAAGACCAAGAACTATTAAGATAAAATTCATAGAAAACTCAGATGAGCGTGTATAAACAAACAAGTGCATGTATGTATAGTGTGACCTAAGTGTAAGTAGAAGTAGCAAGACATACCTGTAATCTTGCATATTTATGTGACAGACAAAAGACATCAGTAATCCTACCATCATGTAAAACAATTACAGGCTTTCATTTCACACTCACTTGGCAGGATGGTAGTACCTCCCTGGGTGGTTGGTGTCTACCAACCTACTACCTACCTACCTACTACATGTGGATGATTTATTACCTTTATCACTTGGTCATGATTGTGATCAGATCTACCTGGAGTTCAATACCTTCGTAACTTGCTCAGCTATCAAAACTTTGGGGCCTAGTCCCTGGACCCACTTGTACCTCTGTAATCCTTTGACTACTGCTCACAGGACTGGTATGGGGCACATAATAAAGATATTAAACTGAACAACCTTCAGGTGCTTATGAATGATTTTCATGCACAAATAATATACTGTGCTTTACAGAACTGCAAATTACAGTAGAATTCTGTATTAATTTTTCCTCAAGAGAGATATAAAAAAACTATTTTCAAATGTTGCAGTGGGCATCCTCATGAGATAGAACAATGAGTTTCCTCAAATACTAGTGTTCAGCTGGATAAGAAAGGTAAACTAATAACAGGAATATGAATTCCCTATTATGTAATAAAATCTTAGTGAAAAGGAAAAAAATATGCAACATTGATTAATAAACAGTACAATATGTAACAAATTAATGCAATTATAACACGAGATTCTTATATTGTATGCTCAAGGCCAGGGGCAGAAGAAGAGAAATGCATATATTGTCGTATTCACATGGGTTGAAGGTACTGACCAATAAGAGCAATCTTTGCATCATAACTCTCTGGAAGATCTGCTGGTAAGTTGGGTGGTCGAACTTGTGGAATATTCATCTGACGGAATATCTATAAAAGAAAGAAAAACCTCATGCTGTATTTTAATATCTTATTTCAATATATATATTTTTTTAATATTAACTGAGCTTTTAAATCTCTGCACAAAATTCAATTTAAACCAGCAAATAATAGAGCCTACTAGACTGGAGAATACACTAGACTTCATCTTCACTAACAATGATGATCTGATAAGAAATGTCACCATATCAAAAACAATATACTCAGATCACAACATAATTGAGGTTCAGACATGTATGCGTGGAGCCCCAGACCGACATAATGAGACTAGTCACGAGGGAGCATTCACCAAATTCAACTTCAATAACAAAAACATAAAGTGGGACCAAGTAAACCAAGTCCTAACTGATATAAGCTGGGAAGATATACAAAGCAACACAGACCCCAACTTATGCCTAGAACAGATTAACTTGGTGGCACTCGATGTATGCACAAGGCTTATTCCTCTAAGAAAAAGGAGGAGTAGATGTAAAGTAGAAAGAGACAGGCGCTCCGTTTACAGGCGACGGAAAAGAATAACAGAGCGGCTAAAAGAGGTCAATATATCTGAAATGCGTAGGGAGACACTGGTCAGAGAAATAGCAAGCATCGAACTTAAGCTAAAGGAATCTTATAGGAGTCAGGAATCGCGGGAAGAACTAAAAGCCATAAATGAAATCGAAAGAAACCCAAAGTATTTCTTCTCCTATGCCAAATCAAAGTTGAGAACAACGTCCAGCATTGGGCCCCTACTTAAACAAGATGGGTCCTACACAGATGACAGCAAGGAAATGAGTGAGCTACTCAAGTCCAATATGACTCAGTTTTTAGCAAGCCGCTAACCAGACTGAGAGTCGAAGATCAAAATGAATTTTTTATGAGAGAGCCACAAAATTTGATTAACACAAGCCTATCTGATGTTATCCTGACGCCAAAATGACTTTGAACAGGCGATAAATGACATGCCCATGCACTCTGCCCCAGGGCCAGACTCATGGAACTCAGTGTTCATCAAGAACTGCAAGAAGCCCCTATCACGAGCCTTTTCCATCCTATGGAGAGGGAGCATGGACACGGGGGTCGTCCCACAGTTACTAAAAACAACAGACACAGCCCCACTCCACAAAGGGGGCAGTAAAGCAACAGCAAAGAACTACAGACCAATAGCACTAACATCCCATATCATAAAAATCTTTGAAAGGGTCCTAAGAAGCAAGATCACCACCCATCTAGAAACCCATCAGTTACACAACCCAGGGCAACATGGGTTTAGAACAGGTCACTCCTGTCTGTCTCAACTATTGGATCACTACGACAAGGTCCTAAATGCACTAGAAGACAAAAAGAATGCAGATGTAATATATACAGACTTTGCAAAAGCCTTCGACAAGTGTGACCATGGCGTAATAGTGCACAAAATGCGTGCTAAAGGAATAACAGGAAAAGTCGGTCGATGGATCTATAATTTCCTCACTAACAGAACACAGAGAGTAGTCGTCAACAGAGTAAAGTCCGAGGCAGCTACGGTGAAAAGCTCTGTTCCACAAGGCACAGTACTCGCTCCCATCTTGTTCCTCATCCTCATATCCGACATAGACAAGGATGTCAGCCACAGCACCGTGTCTTCCTTTGCAGATGACACCCGAATCTGCATGACAGTGTCCTCCATTGCAGACACTGCAAGGCTCCAGGCAGACATCAACCAAATCTTTCAGTGGGCTGCAGAAAACAATATGAAGTTCAACGATGAGAAATTTTAATTACTCAGATCTGGTAAACACGAGGAAATTAAATCTTCATCAGAGTACAAAACAAATTCTGGCCACAAAATAGAGCGAAACACCAGCGTCAAAGACCTGGGAGTGATCATGTCGGAGGATCTCAAATTCAAGGACCATAACATTGTATCAATCGCATCTGCTAGAAAAATGACAGGATGGATAATGAGAACCTTCAAAACTAGGGAGGCCAAGCCCATGATGACACTCTTCAGGTCACTTGTTCTATCTAGGCTGGAATATTGCTGCACACTAACAGCACCTTTCAAGGCAGGTGAAATTGCTGACCTAGAAAATGTACAGAGAACCTTCACGGCGTGCATAACGGAGATAAAACACCTCAGTTACTGGGAGCGCTTGAGATTCCTAAACCTGTATTCCCTGGAACGCAGGCGGGAGAGATACATGATTATATACACCTGGAAAATTCTAGAGGGACTAGTACCGGGGTGGCCCGGTGGCCTGGTGGCTAAAGCTCCCGCTTCACACACGGAGGGCCCGGGTTCGATTCCCGGCGGGTGGAAACATTTCGACACGTTTCCTTACACCTGTTGTCCTGTTCACCTAGCAGCAAATAGGTACCTGGGTGTTAGTCGACTGGTGTGGGTCGCATCCTGGGGGACAAGATTAAGGACCCCAATGGAAATAAGTTAGACAGTCCTCGATGACGCACTGACTTTCTTGGGTTATCCTGGGTGGCTAACCCTCCGGGGTTAAAAATCCGAATGAAATCTTATCTTATCTTACCGAACTTGCACACGAAAATCACTCACTACGAAAGCAAAAGACTTGGCAGACGATGCAACATCCCCCCAACGAAAAGCAGGGGTGTCACTAGCACGTTAAGAGACCATACAATAAGTGTCAGGGGCCTGAGACTGTTCAACTGCCTCCCAGCATACATAAAGGGGATTACCAACAGACCCCTGGCAGTCTTCAAGCTGGCACTGGACAAGCACCTAAAGTCGGTTCCTGACCAGCCGGGCTGCGGCTCATACGTTGGTTTGCGTGCAGCCAGCAGCAACAGCCTGGTTGATCAGGCTCTGATCCACCAGGAGGCCTGGTCACAGACTGGGCCACAGGGGCGTTGACCCCCGGAACTCTCTCCAGGTAAACTCCAGGAAGTGAAGCCTTAAAATGCTCTTTTCAGTATTTAGACCAAAGGGCCATTTTTTTTCCAACACGTTGGCCGTCTCCCACCAAGGTAGGGCAACCCAAAAAAGAAACAATTTCACCATTATTCACACATAATCATTGTCTTTGCAAAGGTGCCCAGATATGACAGTTCAGATGTCACTCCAAACAGCCAACATCCCAAACCCCTCCTTTAAAGGGTCACTTGTAAATAAATACGTATATACTTTACCATATATGATGAAGACTATGTCTCTGATTAAGGTAGACGAGGATTGTAACTGGAAGTGCTGTGCTACGTATTAGTCTGTGCATATCCATGTAAAAGCAGTCTTCTGACATACACAGATTAACTCAGGTATTGTTAATTTTAAGAACATTAACAACTCCACAATTTTTTTAAAAATAAATTTTAAAATTCTAAATTTTTATTCTTACTAATATTATTTCATTGGTTTTATATATCCAGGTGTAAATTCTGAGTAAGAATATGGGAGGATTATATTACTGTTGGTAAGAAAGATATACTCTGTATAGTAGCAATAATGATGAAGGATAAGTTATGACAGGAAAAGAAGGAATATAAATCTATAAATTCAAGGATTATGTGGAGTAAAATAAGGGTTGGATGTGAAAAGTGGGTTATAGCAAGTGTTTATGCACTTGTAGAAGAGAGAAGTGTGGAGGAGAGAGAGAGAGATTTTGGGAAATGTTGAGCAAGTGCATGAGGAGTTTTGACCCAAGTGAGAGAGTACTCATGGTTGGGGATCTCAATACTAAAGTGGGTAAAAATGTTGTAGAGGAAGTAGTAGGTAAATTTGGGGTGCCAGGGGTAAATGAAAATGAACTATGTGTAGAAAGAGGTTTGGTAATAAGTAATTCATATTTTATGAAGAAGAGGGTAAATAAGTATGTATACAAGATATGATATAGCACATAATGAAAGTAGTTTGTTAGATTATGTATTAGTGGATAAAAGGTTGATGGGTAGGCTTCAGGATGTAAATGTTATAGAGGGGCAACAGATATATTGGATCATTATCTAGTTGAAACTACAGTTAGAGTAAGAGGTAGATGGGACAAGAGGAAAATGGCAACAGTAAGAGAGAGAGAGGTGAAAGTTTATGAAGTAAGGGAGGAGGAAGTTAGGGTGAGATATAAGCAACTACTGGCAGAAAGGTGGGCTAGTGTAAGTATAGGTAGTGAGGTGGTAGGTTGAAGAGGGATGGGATAGTTTTAAAAATGCAGTATTAGAATGTGGGGTAGAAGTTTGTAGCTATAGGAGGGTGGGTGCAGGAGGAAAGAGGAGTGATTGGTGGAATGATAAGGTAAAGGGTGCAATAAAAGAGAAAGAGGTAGCTTATGAGAGGTTTTTACAAAGCAGAAGTGATATAAGAAGGGCAGAGTATATGGAGAGCAAAACAAAGGTGAAGAGAGTGGTGAGAGTGCAAAAGGAGAGCAAATGATAAAGTGGGAGAGACATTGTCAAGAAATTTTCCTGAGAATAAGAAAAAATTTTGGAGTGAAATAAACAAGTTAAGAAAGCCTAGGGAATGAATGGATTTGTCAGTTAAAAGCTGAGTAGGGGAGTTAGTTGATGGGGAGCTGGAGGTACTGGGTATATGGCGGAAATATTTTGAGGAACCTTTAAATGTCGATGAAGAAAGGGAAGCAGTAATTTCATGCACTGGCCAGGGAGGTATAACATCTTTTAGGAGTGAAGAAGAGCAGGATGTGAGTGTGGGGGAGGTGCGTGAGGCATTACATAGAATGAAAGGGGGTAAAGTAGCTGGAACTGATGGGATCATGACAGAAATATTAAAAGCAGGGGGAGAAACAGTGATGGAGTGGTTGGTATTTTTGTTTAATAAATGTATGAAAGAGGGGAAGGTACCTAGGGACTGGCAGAGAACGTGTGTAATTCTTTTATATAAAGGAAAGTGGGACAAAAGAGATTGTAAAACTTATAGGGGAATAAGTTTACTGAATATACCAGATAAAGTGTATGGTAGAGTTATCATTGAAAAAAATTAGAGGTAAGACAGAGAGAAGGATTGCAGATGAGCAAGTAGGCTTCAGAATGGGTAGATGTGTAGATCAAGTGTTTACATTGAAGCATACATGTGAACAGTATTTAAATAAAGGTAGGGAAGTTTTCATTACATTTACAGATTTAGAAAAGGCATATGATAGAGTGGATAGGGGAGCAATGTGGCAGATGTTGCAAGTGTATGGAATAGGTAGTAAGTTACTAAATGCTTTAAAGAGTTTTTATGAGGATAGTGAGGCTCAGGTTAGGGTGTGTAGGAGAGAGGGAGATTGCTTCTCAATAACAGTAGATCTTAGACAGGGATGTGTAATGTCACCATGGTTGTTTAACATATTTATAGATGGGGTTGTAAAAGAAGTAAATGTTAGGGTGTTGGGGAGAGGGGTGGGATTAAATTATTGGGAATCAAATACAAAATGGGAGTTGACACAGTTACTTGCTGCTGAAGGAAAAAAGGTGAGTGGTGTGTTGAGGTATCTGTGAATACAAAAAATGTTATCCATGTAGGTACCAACATTTTTAAATGGGTGTGAAGCATGGGTTGTAAATGCTGCAGCAAGGAGGCGGCTGGAGGCAAGTGGAGATGTCGTGTCTAAGGGCAATGTGTGGTGTAAATATTATGGAGAGAATTCATAGTATGGAAATTAGGAGGAGGGGTGAAGTTACTAAAACTATTAGTCAGAGGGTTGAATAGGGACTGTTGAGGTGGTTTGGTCATTTACAAAGAATGGAACAAAGTAGAATGACTTGGAGAGCATATAAATCTATTGAGGAAGGAAGGCAGGGTTGGGGCCATCCCTGAAAAGGTTGGAGGGAGGTTAAAGGAGGTTCAGTGGGGGAGAGGCTTGAACTTCCAGCAAGTGTCCATGAGCATGATAGGAGTGAATAGAGACGAATGGCTTTTGGGACCTGATGAGCTGTTGGAGTGTGAGCAGGGTAATATTTTGTGAAGGGATTCAGGGAAACTGGCTAGCCAGACTCGAGTCCTGGAAATGGGAAGTACAATGCCTGCAGTTTAAAGGAGGGGTTTAGGGTACTGGCAGTTTGGAGGGATGTCTAAGCTGTCGTATCTGAGTGCCTCTGCAAAGACAGTGATTATGTATGAGTGATGGTGAAAGTGTTGAATGAAGATGAAAGTTTTTTCTTTCATTTTGGGTCACCCTGTCTCGGTGGGAGACGACTGACGTGTTAAAAAAAAATGGTAAGTTTGGGGTATGTATTTGTAGATTGTTTCAGCATATAGAGAAAAGGAATGACTACAATAAGACAAAAAAGTTTATCATATACAGTATGTGATGAATAAAGAGGAAAGCTCAAGATCAGGCAAGTTCTGAGCAAATTGAGGAGTAAAAGGCATACAGTGGAACCTCAAATTTCGAACGTATCGCTTATCAAACTCTTTGAAAATAGAAAGCTTTTTTCAAACTAACTTTGTCCCTATTATCGAACTCGCCCCTATTTTCGAACCACCGGGTACTGGACCTGTCCGCGTCCCCACGCAGGTGCCGTGAGCCAGTCTGGTTTTGTTGATCCTTGAGCGAACACTAACCTGCGCTCTCGTTCAAACATTTTACGATTATTTCATTGTGTTTAGTGCTTGTGGGACTGTGAAATAAGCTACAATGGGCCCAAAGAAACTTGCTAGTGGTACCCCTGTGGTAAAGTGAGAAACACCATAGAGGTGAAGAAGGAAATAATACAGAAGTGGAATGATGTCCAAATGTTTGTGGAGAAGTATCACACTGAGCAAGCTGAAACAAGCTATCTTTGCAACAAGTTCAGTGACAGAACCATGTCCCATTTTAGGGAAATCTTAAAGAGGCACCAGAAACAGAGGACTGTGGACAGTTATTTTGTGAGACAGGGGTCCAGTGACTCTCAAGCTGGTCCTAGTGGCATTAAAAGACAGAAGGGAAGTAACCCCAATGGAAATAGAAAGGACCCCAATGGAAGTAAGTCACTCTGTCTGACTTTTTTGGGTTATCCTAGGTTCTCTACTGATTCTATGTCATCATTGAAGGCTCTTGACTCATATAATGACTCCAACAACATGCTCATTGGGAAAGCCAGGTATAGATACTCAAAAATTAGGAACAAAGGAATTAATGTACAATTGCTATGGATCCCATCACACATTGGATTACTCCTTCATGATAAAGTTGATATGTTAGCCAAGAAGAGTACCCAGAAGGAGAATGTAGAATATAACTTTGGTATAACTGTGTCTAGCATTAGGAATAATATTAGGAGAGAAGTAAATAATGAAAATGATTGTTATAGGAATGCAGTTAGAAGCCTGAGTAGATCTATAACCCACTATGATAACATGAATGTAGATAAGTATGTTTATGGAGCAACTTGCAATGTGAACAGACTGACTGATGTTGTAGTGGCCAGGCTTAGGCTTGGTTACAAGTACTTCTGGCAGTTTGGGAGACACACAGATGATGATCAAACTAAATGTAAATTATGTGATCAGGCATATGGTCACTCTCTTGAACACTATGTGCTTAATTGTCCACTTATTGAGGAATACAGAGACAGACAGTATAATAACCTATGTGAAATGTCAAGATATCTTATTAATGAAAATAAGATACCAGATATACTAAGCAAATTTCCTAAATTTGCTTGTAACAGATAAGTGAACTATAGATATGTAGATATAAATCCATATGTATTCCTGTTAACCCTTTGGGGCCTAGTTCCTAGGCCTTTTGTGTATCCATATGCTCTCGCGCTACCGTCCACAGGATGGATATGGGGTGCACAATAAACTAGCCACTTCGGTGGCAAAATCTAAAAATCTAATCTACACATATGCTGCTATGTATGATAATTCTATGTAGCTGTATTTGTGTATATCTGAATAAAACTTACTTTACTTAACCCCAGAGACAGCTTTGATATCTTTAGTCCTCATGGAGAGGAATTCTCTTTCTAAACACTAACCCCAACTCCCTCTCCTCCTCCTCCCTGTCTTCCAGATGCCATCACCAATCTTCAATAAAGGTAAGTAAAATGTTATTTTATATGCACCTACCATCCGACTTATGACCTGCTCGACTTACGACCACTTGACTTACGACCACTCGACTTACGACCGTGTTTTTTATACCAAATTTCTGGGAAATAAACAACTATTTGTGTTGTACACAGTGTTTATCCTAAACCTTACAGTATAAAATACAGTACTAACAGCATAAAAAGTAAAGTAAAACATGAAATACCAAAATAAAACAATAAAATAAAGTCATTACAAAAATGTTTTGTTGATATTCAGTAGTAAAGTTTGACTTACGGCCATTTCGACTTACGACCGGTTTCTCGGAACCGAACTCGGTCGTAAGTGGATGGTAGGTGTGTTTATTTAAATTTATTAATATGTACACAATTGAACACTATATTTGTTGTGTATGTAAAACTATAATTAATCTCTATAAAATGTATTTTTTTGTGAATATTTTTGGGTTTCTGGAACGAATTAATTGCATTTCCATTATTTCTTAGGGGAAATATTGCTTCGCTTTTCAGACTTTTCGAATTGAGAACTAACTCCTGAAATTGATTAAGTTCGATATTTGAGGTTCCACTGTATTTTGTTTTATATGAGTATATATGTATGTTATTGAGGATAGGCAGCCTCTGGCTTATCAAGATTCTTTTAGCCAAGAATGAGGCTGCCTCCATGTGATCACCCATCCAGTAACTGGACAATTAAGATTTACTATGCTTATACAGTACTTACATCTGTTGCAAACTGCTGCAAACCACCAATATTAATGGGACCTTCCTCGGTGGCATAGAGGTTACAACCGCCTACACAGAGGTCGCTGGTAGGACACACCATCCCACATGTCATTCCAAGTGGGTTGTCCGAGAAGATCATCTTGGCTGCTCCATAGTAATTCTGCCAGGTTTAATATATGCACAGTCACTCCAATATGCATAATATAAACACCTTTTTTAATACTGTTTGCACATGTAATCTGAAATAATGATGAGAAAAAGGGTGTGATAAAAGAGAAAAAGGTAGCTGATGAAAGGTGAGGAAAGTGGTAAGAAAGTGCAAAAGGAGAGCAAATGAGAGTGGGAGAGGCACTGTCAACAAATTTTGCTGAGAATAAGAAAAAAACTTAAGAGCGAGATAAATAGGTTAAGAAGGCCTAAGGAACAAATGGATTTGTCAGTTAAAAACAGAGTAGGGAAGTTAGATGACAGTGGCATCATAAGAAGGGGAGGGCACCCCAGGCGACTCCATTTAGGGGGTGACACCATAGAGCCTCTAAAGGTGATACTAATGCACAAAACAGTGCTGCAGTAACACAAGAGAAAAATCCTTCATTTCTATATAGCTTATTATATGATTGCAGAGTACAAATAGGCCTATATATAGAAAATCATTGACTTTGATGATGTGATTGATGATTTTGCAAGATTGAAGGCAAGGAAATGTATGATCAGATTCACCGAGATGTTACCTGTACTCAAGGCCAAATCGGAACTACAATCATGAACAAATTATAGAGTAATGAGCAGCAGACCGTCATAGTATATGGTAGTTACGTTCCTGAAAACGCCATGTTAAGTAAAACTGTGTTATATAAACTGAAGAACTCATGGGAAAAATAGGGTTACATTCCTGGGAGCCCTCAAAAAACCAACCTATCTTTTTTTTAGACCAACAGATCTTACAAAAATAAAAGTGAATACCTAATTGTAGTTCATTGTAGTGATACATTTTGTTTTTACTGCTTAAGACTACAAATGTGACAGAAATAATAGTATTTCTTACCTTAAATTGTGGGTGCTGGTGTTTGTGGATGATTGTGAAGAGAGCGGAGATGCATGGTTTGGCCCTACTGGGCTGAGGTGGATGGTTGTTGGTTGTTGGCAGAAGTGGATGGTAGAGGTTCTGCTACTAAAGTCATGGTTGTATTGGAGTGTGCATAAATTCTGAAATGGATCTCTGGGCTCTTTTACCCTGCAATACATTATACATGTACAGCTGACAGTAAGGTATCATCAGCTAGTCTAGACCCCACTTCAAAGCACTGCTTCTAGATTTGTCAGGGTCCTCTTACCTGGAGTTTACCTGGAGAGAGTTCCGGGGGTCAACGCCCCCGCGGCCCGGTCTGTGACCAGGCCTCCTGGTGGATCAGAGCCTGATCAACCAGGCTGTTACTGCTGGCTGCACGCAAACCAACGTACGAGCCACAGCCCGGCTGGTCAGGAACCGACTTTAGGTGCTTGTCCAGTGCCAGCTTGAAAACTGCCAGGGGTCTGTTGGTAATCCCCCTTATGTATGCTGGGAGGCAGTTGAACAGTCTCGGGCCCCTGACACTTATTGTATGGTCTCTTAACGTGCTAGTGACACCCCTGCTTTTCATTGGGGGGATGTTGCATCGTCTGCCAAGTCTTTTGCTTTCGTAGTGAGTGATTTTCGTGTGCAAGTTCGGTACTAGTCCCTCTAGGATTTTCCAGGTGTATATAATCATGTATCTCTCCCGCCTGCGTTCCAGGGAATACAGGTTTAGGAACCTCAAGCGCTCCCAGTAATTGAGGTGTTTTATCTCCGTTATGCGCGCCGTGAAGGTTCTCTGTACATTTTCTAGGTCAGCAATTTCACCTGCCTTGAAAGGTGCTGTTAGTGTGCAGCAATATTCCAGCCTAGATAGAACAAGTGACCTGAAGAGTGTCATCATGGGCTTGGCCTCCCTAGTTTTGAAGGTTCTCATTATCCATCCTGTCATTTTTCTAGGAGATGCGATTGATACAATGTTATGGTCCTTGAAGGTGAGATCCTCCGACACGATCACTCCCAGGTCTTTGACGTTGGTGTTTCGCTCTATTTTGTGGCCAGAATTTGTTTTGTACTCTGATGAAGATTTAATTTCCTCGTGTTTACCATATCTGAGTAATTGAAATTTCTCATCGTTGAACTTCATATTGTTTTCTGCAGCCCACTGAAAGATTTGACTCAAGAAATCGTAATGACACGATTGCAAATAAACCATACCCCCGGCCGGGATTGAACCCGCGGTCATAGAGTCTCAAAACTCCAGCCCGTCGCGTTAGCCACTAGACCAGCTAGCACAATAAGATTATCCAATAGGGTATATTTCTACACCATAGGAAAGTTAGCACAGGCACCTCTGTGACCACAAATGCAAGTTTTTACAGACGAATCTCCAGCTAGCGTGGCCGTGACGAACTCTAGCTCAAGTCCCTTCCTGCCGTCAACATGACTCAAGAATCGTAATGACACGATTGCAAATAAACCATACCCCGCCGGGATTGAACCGCGGTCATAGAGTCTCAAAACTCAGCCCGTCGCGTTAGCCACTAGACCAGCTAGCCACAATAAGATTCATCCAACTAGGTATATTTCTACACCATAGGAAAGTTAGCACAGGCACCTCTGTGACCACAAATGCAAGTTTTTACAGACGAATCTCCAGCTAGCGTGGCCGTGACGAACTCTAGCTCAAGTCCTTCACTGCCGTCAACATGACCCAAGAAATCGTAATGACACGATTGCAAATAAACCATACCCCGTCACGGCCACGCTAGCTGGAGATTCGTCTGTAAAAACTTGCATTTGTGGTCACAGAGGTGCCTGTGCTAACTTTCCTATGGTGTAGAAATATACCTAGTTGGATGAATCTTATTGTGGCTAGCTGGTCTAGTGGCTAACGCGACGGGCTGGAGTTTTGAGACTCTATGACCGCGAGTTCAATCCCGGCCGGGGGTATGGTTCACTGAAAGATTTGGTTGATGTCCGCCTGGAGCCTTGCAGTGTCTGCAATGGAGGACACTGTCATGCAGATTCGGGTGTCATCTGCAAAGGAAGACATGGTGCTGTGGCTGACATCCTTGTCTATGTCGGATATGAGGATGAGGAACAAGATATGAGCGAGTACTGTACTGAACTGTACTGTACTGTACTGAAAAAGCGAGTACTTTTTCAGTGAAAAAGTCTGCTAGTTTTGCAGCAACATGGAACTGCTCACATAACTGCCGCAGTGTTAACTGCTTTTCTTCAGGTTCTTCATCTTCTGTTATGTGGCTTCCATGTATCTGTGCATCAAGCTCTGCCAACATTTCCTCTGGACTCCTGTTGTCGTCGTCGTCGTCTCACATCATCGTCTAAAAGCTCATTCACATCTTTATTCATATCTTCAAAACTATCACCTGGTAATCTCCTTGCCAGCTAAACAATTTCCTGAGCCTGACTCTCAAGCTAGGAAAAACCAGTCAATTAACTACAGAAGGCCATAACTTTCTCCAGCCTGCATTTAAAGTTGATTGGGGCAATTCATTCCATGCTTAAGCATAGATGATAGCATCTGCAATGTTAAATTTATCCAGAAACTTGTATGCCAGGTTGGAGTCGGGCCCATTGATGCAACTAGTTTTTTCACAACTTTTTTTTGTGTAGTTACCCTTGAATGACTTAATAACTCCCTGAGCCAGTGGTTGTATTAAAGATGTTGTATTTGGAGGTAAAAGTACAACTTGTGGGGTCACATCTAGCATAGCTTGTGGATGAGTATGGGAATTATCAAGAATGACGAGAGCCTTGAATGCAAAGGTCTTGCTGTGTGGGTAAAACTTGACTTCAGGAATAAAGTGATGCTTAAACCAGTCAATAAACATTTCCTCTGTCATCCATGCTGACTGGTTTGACAGATAAGATAAGAGATAAGATTTCGTTCGGATTTTTAACCCCCGAGGATTAGCCACCCAGGATAACCCAAGAAAGTCAGTGCGTCATCGAGGACTGTCTAACTTATTTCCATTGGGGTCCTTAATCTTGTCCCCCAGGATGCGACCCACACCAGTCGACTAACACCCAGGTACCTATTTGCTGCTAGGTGAACAGGACAACAGGTGTAAGGAAACGTGTGAATGTTTCACCGCCGGGAATCGAACCGGGCCTCCGTATTGTGAACGGGGCTTTAGCCACAGGCACCGGCCACAAATTACTGGTAAGGTGTTTTTATCTAAGTCTTTCAAAGCACGAGGATTCTTAGAACAGTAAATAACCATGTGTTACACTTGAAATCACCTGATGCATTACTGCAAAGGAGCAAGTTTAAGCAATCCTTTGCTGTCTTGAAGTCTAGTGCACTTTTCTCTTGCTGACTGATATAAGTTCTTGTTGGTATTTTCTTCCAAAAAACACTTGTCTCATCAGCATTAAACACTTAATGTGACTCATAGCCACCCTCAGAAACAATTTCCTGCAATTCAGCAGGGAAATTACTTGCTGCTGTATGATCAGCTGAAGCACTTTCACCAGAAAACTTAATGCTATGTAACTTATTATGCAACCTGAAGTTTTGGAACTAAACTCACACTCTTTTTCAGGCCTTCCTTCCTTATCTCAATGGTCTAATCCACAGCCAGACAGAAGCTTGAGTTGGGAAGTATCCCACAGGCGACGCTCCAAATTTCCCCCCCCCCCCTCCCGCGAACTGAACCGTGTTAAGTTAATTTTATGAAGTGTTATATAAAATTATGCTGCAATTTTTCAAGTGCAATAGCCAAAATGTGCCAAACAAAACCGTGTAATATAATGGTCTACTGAAGTACATTTTTTGCAGTGTATATGCACACATTTAAAATCCAAATATTTTTGTATATTTTTATCCAAGAAGCCTTCATTTATTAAAATTTTATCAATAAATGAACCTAAAATTTTGAAATAGTTGCATAAAAACTTGATTTGGTTACTTATTTTATTAAAAATTTTTTTATTTCAAACTTTCCCTCATAATTTTTTGTGTAAATATGCTTCAGTACATCTACATTTTAATCCTCATATTTTCTTTTTAACACTTTGGCCGTCTCCCACCGAGACAGGGTGACCCAAAAAGAAAGAAAAAACTTTCATCATTCAACACTTTCACCATTACTCATACATAATCACTGTCTTTACAGAGGCACTCAGATATGACAATTTAGATGTCTCTCCAAACTGCCAATATCCCAAACTCTTCCTTTAGAGTGCAGGCATTGTACTTCCCATTTCTAGGAGTTGAGTCCAGCTAACCAGTTTCCCTGAATCCCTGCACAAAATATTACCCTGCTCACACTCCAACAGCTCGTCAGGTCCCAAAAACCATTCGTCTCCATTCACCCCTGTCTAACACTCTTACGCACGCTTGCTGGAAATCCAAGCCCATCGCCCATAAAACCTCCTTTACCCCTCCCTTCAACTTTTTCGAGGACGACCCCTACCCCCACCTTCCTTCCCCTACAGATTTATACAATCTCAAAGTCATTCTACTTTGTTCCATTCTCTCTAAATGACCAAACCACCTCAACAATCCCTCTTCAGCCCTCTGACTAATATTTTAATAACTCCACACATCCTCCTAATTTCCACACAACGAATTTTGTGCATAATATTTACACCGCACATTACCCTTAGACACAACATCACTGCCTCCAGCCTCCTCCTTGCTGCAGCATTTACAATCCATGCTTCATACCCATATAAGAGTGTTGGTACCACTATACTTTCATACATTCCCTTCTTCGCCTCCATGGATAACGTTTTTTAGTTTCTACAGATACCTCAATGCAACACTCACCTTTTTTTCTTCATCAGTTCTGTGGCTAACCTCATCCTTCATAAACTAGTATAGCCCTTGTGGCTTAGCGCTTCTTTTTGATTATAATAATAATTCATAAACTAGTTCAGCGATCAAAACTTTGGGGCCCAGTTCCTGGACCCATTATGTACCTCTGTAATCTTTTGACTTGTAATATTGTATATTACACTGCAGGTTCTTTAAACACAACACTGGACCCTCTGAAAGACTTGATCCAATGATGTGTATAAATTTATCTTGCCTTATACATGTGTGAAAATTTGTTACCTTGTTAGCAATACAGGAGATAAACTGCTTGATGTTAAGTTGTGTAGGGCAAGACTTCTGACAAGGAGCATCAGCACACTTAAGACAGCGAGAAGCCTCACGTAGAGCACCTCGTTCACTCAGTGTCGTATGTTTAATATCATCAAAGTTTTTCTCCAGACTACAGTGATTCTGTTAAAGTAAAACAATTTTTTAAAATATGCTCCTGAGACAAGAGCTTGAAGGATTGTTTGTTAATTCTACATTAAGATTTCCACCAAAAACTGCTATTAATATCAATGACAAGTTTGAGTGGACAAAGACTAAGTAGGAGGTCAAGTCAAAAGGACAATAGAGTTTCTTATTGACCTGGATGGCTGTTAACCTGTGAGAAACAGGTCGAGGTTAAACTTGTAGATACCTCAGAAAATGGAAAAGGGGAACAAGTTTGAGTATTGGAAACATGCTGGATTAGTGAAACTGGGTTGGCATCGTCATACTTTATACTGAATGCCCAAGTATACTGTAGTTTTGAATATCATCCCGGACTGTACTGATGGTGAAGTGAAGTACTGCACACTGAAGTAATACTTTGATCAGTGTAATGGATTACTATAAAGTGGTGACTCAGTGCTGTAATAATGTACAGGACTTTCAGTGTCATGAGGTGTCTACTGTGAAGCAGTAAGTGAAGATCATTAAGTATAGTGATGTGGGCTCTGGACTATTGCAGAAAGTTGCCGAACTAAAATTTGTAACTGCTTACCAAAATTAGTGATGAAAACATGTGAAAATTGTACAGTATGTATATGTGAACCTTAGTGCATTCATTAAACATTAATGCTGGGTATGGGGTGCATAATAAAGATATTAAATTAAACTGTCACTCATTCAATAACATTTTTCCCCAAGCCTTCCTCACAATTATCCAGTGTGTAACTATGTTTTAATCTTTGAATAACCAAAGATTATGATCACCTCCACTCTTCTCAATTTGTAACAACAAAAGAGCCAACCACATCCGTCTTTTACTTACCACACAGTTCTTGCCTTTGTTACGTTTCCAGTACTTCTTATTATCCTTGGTGACAGAGGAGGGTTGCAAGGTGGCATGGGTGGTGATGCGAGGGTTGAGGGTCAATATGTTCTGAAAAAAATATCACACGAGAAAGATTGTGATGTTTAGTATATGAATTACTAACATGGGAAAATTTGTGTAAGTTCCTTTAGCTACAGGTACATATAAGTATAATTATCATACCTAGTAATATATGCGTGAATCACTTAAGATAACCCCAAAAAAAAGTCAGACAAAGCGACTTATTTACATAACTGAATGCCATTCACAACAATATTCAAAAGATGAAATGTCACAAGGCCACAATGACCAGTTCAGCATGGACTCCTCTCTTATGTAACCATTTAGAAGAGGAAGGTCATTTCAGATGAGCAGGGATGACTGTAGTTGACAGGAATAATTACTATAACACCTACTTTAGTATACTAGCTAAGGTTAATTTTAATATTGACTGTTTATATTCACCTGCAATCTCTTCACGGGGTACCATAATGTTTGTAAAAGGCTCTTGATCAAAGAAATTGGAGCAACCTTTCCCTTGGAATAAAACTGATTACCTCCCATTCCCTAGGTGCTGTATGACCCATATGGGTTTAGTGCTTCCCTATAAAAACAGGGTGGTTAAGTCAGGGTGGTCCCCTGACTTAACCACAAAAACTTTCTTCTGTACACAAAATACAATAAAATGTTAAGCACAAATATTAAGTCCCTAGCCTAGCATGTGGTGCATTTCGGGCACATTTTATATTTATGAAAAGGCCATAGAATCAAGAGAGGTTCCTAGATACTGGCGAGGAGCTCTTGATCCAATGAATTGGACCTGATTTTCCTTTCCTTGATTCCCATTCTCCATGAGCTGTATGACCCTTATGGATTTAATGTTCTCATTCTTTGAGAAAGGTATCTTAAAATGAAGATTCCTGGTGTAAATAACTGGAGGTGCTCTCTTTCCTTGGATGAAATCTGATTGTCCCCATTCCCCAAGATGTTTGAGTTTTACGGGTTTAGCGCTCCTCGATGAAAAAGATATGGTTCAAAAGCTGTAGCTCAACACCTTCAAGAGGCCCAGGAGCTAGATCTCGACACTATTAATTCCTCAAGAACCCTTGATGTCAGTGAGGTTACCTGGAGGTTACCTGGAGAGAGTTTCGGGGGTCAACGCCCCCGCGGCCCGGTCTGTGACCAGGCCTCCTGGTGGATCAGCGCCTGATCAACCAGGCTGTTGCTGCTGGCTGCACGCAAACCAACGTACGAGCCACGAGGGGGGGCTCTTAATCTAAGAAACTGGATTTGCCTTCCCCTTCCTTGGATCAAACCTGATTACCTCACATTTCCCCTTCCCCAGGTGTTGTATGAGGTGTTATTCGTGCTTTCCCATAAATATAATAATGTGTTTAACAACACTAGTAACTTCAGCAGTTGTAGTGCAATACATCATATCCAACACATATCAAAATAAGTATCCAAAACAGTTGGGATCCTCTCCAAGATACGATACTACGTGCCGCAAACTGCCCTTCTCACACTATACCATTCACTTATATATCCATACCTCACCTATGCTATTTGTGCTTGGGGTTCAACTGCAGAAATACACCTAAAGCCAATAATAACCCAACAAAAAGCCTCAGTAAGAATAATCACTAAATCCCATCCCTGGCAACACACCCCCTCACTCTTCATAGATCTAAACTTACTCCCTGTTCAGAACATCCACACTTACTACTGTGCAATCTACATCAACAGGACCTTAAATTCCAATATTAACCTTGACCTAAAATGCTTTTTTGATAGTTGAGACAGAACCCACAGGCATAACACCAGACACAAACATCTCTACGACATTCCCCGTGTCCGACTAAACCTTCACAAAAATTTAATGTATGCCAAAGGCCCTAAAATCTGGAAAACACTACCTGAAAACTCTAGAACAGCAGACACATTCATCATCTTCAAAACTACCGTTAGAAAACATCTTATCTCCCTGATGCACCCCATCAACTAACTACATGTAAACCACCTGGTGGTTCACACTTACTCACTCACCCATTTGACTATAAACACAGAAATACGAATCTTAATCTTAAAATAACGATTCCTAACTAGTCACAAGTTTGCCTGTGATACTCCAATATAGAAACTATGTATTGTGCCAAAACAAAAGCATTCACATTGCCAAACTCACAAACTAGTATTTAGTCACTTAGTATTTAGTCAACTTACTCCACAATTTGTAATAATTTAGGGTTACGAAATAATCTAAGTTTGCCCGAAATGCCTAGCCATGCTAGGTGTTCTAGTGGCCCCCTCTGTAATTAGTATTTTATTACATGTAAACCACACTAACCAAAATCTGCAAACCCCGCATTGTAATCCTTATAGAGAATAAACTTTGATTTGATTTGCTTTGATGTGTGTAATGCAACACCCGCCCCATGAACCGTTGATCACCAGTGTATCAGTGTATCAGTGTATCAGTCTATTAGTCTGTTAGTCTATTAGTCAGTCAGTCAGTCTCTCTCTCTCTCTCTCTCTCTCCAGTCGTACGTACCCAGAGTGCCACTTGTACCCAGGGTCACAGGGTGCCAGAGCTGACACACAAAGTAGCACAAGTGGCACCTAAAAGTAGGAAAACTGATGAACAAGGTTTATAGCGGTTAGTGGCGCAAACCCCTAGTTACTAGTAGCCAGGTCCAGCAGTAAGTTTATTTAGGTACAAGTACACATAAATACAGTTACACAAATTATCATAGTAATATATGTGAAAATTACCCAGGATAACCCCCAAAAATCAGATAAAGTGACTTATATCCAAGAACCTGCTGATCTGATTGGATGCATCGTAGACTTGTGGCTTCTGCATAATAGAAATATAATAATAATAATAATAATAATAATAATAATAATAATAATAATAATAATAATAATAATATCTTTATTTTTACAAGTACATGTACAAGGTATACAGTCCTAGACCTAGCTGATATCAATGACATACTACTATATAGAAAGCCTCTTGTTATGCTGAGCATTTCTGGCAAATTAGGTCAATTTTGTCCCAGGATGCGACCCACACCAGTCCACTAACACCCAGGTACCCATTTTACCGATGAGTGAATAAAGACAACCGGTGTAAGGAAACACGTCCAATATTTCAACCCTCGCTGGGAATCGAACCCGTACCCTCGCCATGTGAAGTGAGAGCTTTAGCTCAAGTTCTTTTCATATTATTATCCCTAAAACTATTAGTGGACAGTTTAAAGTTATGATCTACTTCCATCCTTACCTGGAGTTTGCCTGGAGAGGGTTTCGGGGGTCAACGCCCCCGCAGCCCGGTCTGAGACCAGGCCTGATGGTGGGTCAGGGCCTGATAAGAACATAAGAACATAAGAACGAAGGAACACTGCAGAAGGCCTACTGGCCCATGCGAGGCAGGTCCAAGTCTCCTACCGGCTTAAGCCAATGCACCCAACCTAGTCAGGTCAGGTCACATTGACTTAAGGGAGGAACACGGCAACCGACCTGGTAGCACAAGCTATCAGGTCCAACTCACACCCACCCACATCCACTCATGTATTTATCCAACCTATTTTTAAAGCTACACAACGTTCTGGCCTCTATAACTGTACTCGGGAGTTTGTTCCACTCATCCACAACTCTATTACCAAACCAGTACTTTCCTATATCCTTCCTGAATCTGAATTTTTCCAACTTAAAACCATTGCTGCGAGTCCTGTCTAGGCTAGATATTTTCAGCACACTATTTACATCCCCTTTATTTATTCCTGTCTTCCATTTATACACCTCAATCATATCCCCCCTAATTCTACGTCTTTCTAGAGAGTGCAGATTCAGGGCCCTTAGTCTATCCTCATAGGGAAGGTTTCTGATACATGGGATCAACTTTGTCATCCTCCTTTGTACATTTTCCAGAGAATTTATATCCATCCTGTAATACGGTGACCAAAACTGTGCAGCATAATCTAAATGAGGCCTAACCAAGGATGTATAGAGTTGAAGAACAACCTGAGGACTCCTATTATTTATGCTTCTTGATATGAAGCCAAGGATTCTATTAGCTTTACTGCGAACACTTATGCACTGTTGTCTTGGTTTCAGATTACTGCTAACCAGAACTCCTAAATCTTTTTCGCAATCCGTAATATTAAGATCTACATTATTTAGTTTATATGTGGCATGGTTATTGTCCTGTCCAACATTTAGAACTTTGCATTTGTCTATATTAAACTGCATCTGCCACTTCTCCGACCACTGCATCAGTCTATTCAAATCTTCCTGGAGTGCTCGAATGTCCTCGTCAGAATGAATTCGACGGCCTATTTTGGTGTCATCGGCAAACTTGCCGATGTCGCTCTTTATGCCCTCATCTATGTCGTTTATGTAGATTGTGAACAGCAGGGGGCCCAACACTGACCCCTGTGGAACACCGCTCGTAACGCTTCCCCCTCTGATTTCTCCCCATTTATGCAAACTCTCTGCTGCCTATTTGTCAACCATGCCTCTATCCAGGAAAAAAATTCTCCTCCTATTCCATGTGCTTTAATTTTCCTCAATAGTCTCTGATGTGGGACCCTGTCAAAAGCCTTACTGAAGTCCATATACACAATATCATATTCATTACCATGATCTACCTCCTCAAATACCTTAGTGAAAAAAGTTAATGAATTCGTAAGGCAGGAACGCCCCTTTGTAAAACCATGCTGAGATTCGTTGATTAATTTATGCTTTTCAAGGTGGCTACGAACTGCCTCGGCAATTATTGATTCCATAAATTTTCCCACTATGGAGGTTAGGCTTATTGGTCTATAGTTCGAAGCTAAGGACCTGTCACCTGTTTTGAAAATAGGTATCACATTTGCCATTTTCCACTTATCTGGCACCATGCCCGTTTGTAGTGATATGTTGAAAAGATTAGCCAAAGGTGTGCTAAGCTCCTCTTTACATTCCTTTAGAACCCTTGCATACAGTTCATCAGGGCCTGGGGATTTGTTAGGTTTTAATTTATCTATTTGCCTAAGGACCATGTCACTTGTGACCCTAATCGTGCACAGTTTATTCTCGTCCTGTTCTACATAATTTATCATTACTGGAATATCGCTGGTATCCTCCTGTGTAAAAACTGAGAGGAAGTATGTGTTAAAAATTCTACACATTTCCTTATCACTGTCAGTGAGCTGACCCGAGGAACTTTTGAGTGGGCCTATCTTGTCCCTGATCTTACTTCTGTATACCTGAAAGAATCCTTTTGGGTTAGTCTTCGATTCTCTTGCAACTTTAACCTCATAATCTCTTTTGCTTTTCTAATTCCCTTTTTTATTTCTCTCTTTAACTGAATATATCGATTTCTTAATTGCCCCTCTCCTCTTTTGATTTGCCTATATATGCCTCTCTTTTGACCAATCAGATATTTTAATCTATTGTTCATCCATTTAGGATCATTTTTGTTTGATCTGATTTCCCTATTTGGAACATAATTTGACTGAGCAGCTAGAACTATGCCCTGGAAAGCATCATATCGGCAACCATCACCACCTACCTGACCCTTAGTCAGGTCATTC